TGCTCGTGGCAGTGGGAGGGGCAGGCTGAAATTTTGTTATGACTAATGGATAGCAACAGCCAGAAATAACATATCATTTACGGTATGGAGGCACTCTAAATTTGAAGCGTTCTTGACCTTTCAGTGACAAAGAATGAAGAAGGGTGGGGGCTGATTAAACAAGAAAAATAAGAGGAAGCGAGACCCAAAATAGTTCTCACTGTGATTGGAGTAAGAGCTCCATGTAACCTCATATTTTATCCACTTTGGGCTTAGAAGTTGGCTGTACTATCAACTTTCATAAACTGCTCGTTAGTTTTGGAAAACAAATGAGGTTTAAGGGAATGAACGGGTAGAAAAAAAAATCTTCAAGCATCTCTTAAAATCCCTTCAGCTCCTCCTGCAAAATGATTTGCTATCTTGAGGGTGTTTCAAAACCTCAGATAAACATCAAATTATGCCAAAAGTTGTTGCTAGCAAGTAAGGGTATTCAAAATAAAACCACTAATGGTCCTTTGGAGAGAATCTAGCCTTTCCAAAATCTTTGATTAATAATTTTAGGACTGCCAAAAGCCAACTCCAAACTGTTTTTATTTTGAAAAATTGGTATGAAGTACATCTTTGCAAGTAACTGCTTATCTTCCCATTGGACATTCTTGAAGAAACACTAGCACTCTGTAAGGATGTCTAGCCCAGGTCCACACGAATGGTCAGTTGACAACCTTTTCTGATTGTGGATCTGGGTTACAGCTTCATCATGCCACAAGTGTAACAAAGACTGGTTTGAGACTGTTGAAGTTTATGTAGCCGTCCATGTTTCCGAGCATTCTGCTGGTATTTAGTTGACCTGGAGAACAGTCCATGTAGGGTAAGAACAAGGACAACGTATTTTAAGGAGCCTTAGTTGAACATATGGAGAGCCTATGTAGGGGAACACCATAGCATAACATATTTTGGGAACCTGAGTGATGTCATAAATGTGTACAAGGTCCTTGTTTAGGATGGTTGTCGGAGGCCCGCAGCTCCAGGAATCTAACACCGACGTATCCATGGTACCTGAGTTACATAGCTCCACCACCCTTAAGGCTGATGGGATTGGCTAAAGAAAATTCTCCTAACACACTCATTGTGAATCAGGCTTGTCTTTCCTTTTTTCGGTTGTACCAACTCCTGTTGAAAATGCATTTTGTATTTGCAGTGGTACCCTTTGGTGGTGGACAGGTACCATGAAATGAAAAATGGGTACATTTAAATTTGGTCTGCTTAGTTTGGAGGGAAATAAAAAGCCGATAAGAGCGCTGAGACTAAACTAAAACAATACGCTTTGCTCCTTCTTCTAACAACTTTGAAAGAAAATGCTCCAGAGCCGCCGGCATATTCACACTTTGGTCGTAATTAAATCACACCCCTTTAAATAAAAGATACGCTTTTCCGGTGTTATCGCCATTTCTGCTCATAGGCTTCAATGTGCAATCAAGTATTTAGACATCCTGCTGCTGCCTCTGTACCTCACTCAGAAAATGCAGGTCATCTTTATTTTTTCATCCCTCTAGACTGAGCAGCAGGGGGTCTGTAGAAACCTTTCCCTCTCTGTTCCTCTGATCAGCAGCCTTTGAAGGGCCTGGCAGGGGCCCCTGTGCCACCCTGGACAGCAGAGCAATAACCTCTGGTTATATGTCTCTACTAGTTCAAATCCTTGGGCGCCTTACGCAAAAAAAAAAAAAAAAAAACTCCAGCAGAGCTACCAGAGGTAAAGTGCACCGCTGGGGTGATGTTAAGAGACACACCAAGCCAAGTGCCTGTGGTTTTTGAGATACGAAGAGCAGGAACTCTTGCCAGCAGCGACAATCACACCTGAAAAAATAAAAGGCAGAGCCAGCTGGAAGTGTAAATAAATAAGAGCCCTCGCTGACAGATCCCTCCTGATAATAGGAGATCACATCAGGAATTACCACAGATTTCAAACTGTGCCTCCTTCAACACATCACAGAGTTTACAAAGAGTGCTTTGTTTACAAAACAGCCAAATGTGCTCTGGATAAGTGGGAGTTTTCTCCATGCCTGTTGTCTAACCCAAGGCCTCTCGCTCCTATGGGGAGCCGAAACATGCTTTGTGTCTAATTTAAGGAGAAAATAAAACGCCTCTGGCTTGAAGTTGATGCATTTGATGAAAATGTAATTCGCTGGGTGCAGCTTTGGGAGTGCACTTAAGTTCACAACAATAACCTTGGTTGTTTTTATTGTGACAGGCTTTGGTGATAAGCTTCATGCACAGATAGACCTCTTAGATTTTGTTCTTGCATTGAAGATTTTTAAGTCTTTTATGGACTAAAAAAACATCAAATTATTAAGGTTGAATCAAGGTCAGAAGTACAATCAAACTAGGATTAATACATTTCTTCTGCAGTATATTTATTATGTAAAACACAAGTTGCACGATGGCTGCAGATCAGCCCTTTTTCAGTGCCTTATTTTGCTGCAATGATTTGAGGTAAAAACTGCAAAACCGTCTAACTCATTTTGTATTTATTACACAATGAAACCATATGTTAATTTCAACTGTGACTAACCATTAACTGCGAGGGGATATTCAGACTAATCATCTTGGACACTCCAATAATTATTCATGAACAGGAACAAGTAAACCCCAAAGCTGAAATCCACAAGCCATGACTCTGTGATCAGAATCCCGTTTCTTCAGCTGCTCCGGGGTCAAATAGGAGGGGTGGGGTTGGAGAAACTCTGCTGTCTTATCCTCGTAGAACCCTGAGGCCTTTTACGCCCAAATTAGTTTTATTTCATGTATTCTCTGAACCAAAGATGGGCCCGCGTCTTCTGAAAAATGGCCTGGAGCGTTGGCCCACTATTCACAAAGTTGGCTGATCCGCAGTGATTGGAACAGGAGGGAGGTGTGGCTCAATCAGATCAAAGTCTGGGCTTGACTCTCTTGTGTTTTGACCTCCAGGCACTTTTTCATATCTGCACTGTGAAAATGAACAAGCTGCGGTGATAGAAACACAATGTCGACTTTGACTCAAACCAGATTTCAATTCATTTAGATATTCTTCTGAATGCAGCGAAGACGATGTAAAGTTCGTCATTTTGTTGTGTCATTAAAGGTGGTGTAGGCAGGATTCCGCTAAAGAAGCATCTTTTTTTTGTGGTGTATCTACAAAAAAGCTTTTGATATCAATCAACAGCTATTAGTGATTGATGACATTTGGTAACATAACGATATCGCTGTGTTTCGTTACGTCTGTGTAGTCAACATTTAACATTTTTTGAGCGGCCCACTCTTTCTGACTGTAAACAATACCGTTCTTCACCTTGCCCAACCTGATTGGTCGTGAGGCGGATGTTGCTCCTTAGTGTTGATTGGTTGTGAGGTAGGCGCTGCTCCCTTGTGTTTTGAGGTGCGCTCCATGTCCGCCAATTACGCGCACGAGCCCAAACAAAGTTAGTGTGCTACAATATCAGATGGTGGAAACCAACCGGAAAGTATCGAAAACACAAGCAATAAAACAAAGTAAATACCGGAGACTCTGGCGGAATAACAGGTGCTTAAAAAGGAGGTAGACCGGGTCAACATCAGAATAAACGATGGGGGATGCTTTAGGATCTTACAGACCCTGTAACCTTTCTAATTTGTAATTATCTGAAGTATTTATCTGCATTATGTCTGAATTTAATTGGAATGATACGAGCGAGCAGGAGCGTCTGTTTGTAGGCGGAGAGAGGAGGAGCTGAGGTGAAAACTGGTTGGGAGGGGTAGTGTTTACATTCAAGATTTCTCCCAAAAACGGGCACTTCCTCAGATCCTGACGACCCCACCTTTAAAGTTCCGGCTTAACTTTGTAAAATCGGTTGTCTTGGAAAACTCCACCTCCGACAAAAATAATGCGTCTAAAAATCCAACATGGTAGAAATCCATGAGAGGGACTCCACTGTTAGTACAGGATAGTATGTAATAACACGTTTTGGAAGAGGAGGTAGTCATTCATATTACTTATGCTGCAGCTGTTGGCAATTTTAGTGAGAGACAGAGGTAATTCAGCCAGAAAACTGAAACAGAAACTCTCTAAAAGTCCCCTGGCCAAACGGAGACTGGGTGGGTAGCGTGTGAGTGTGTGTGTGTGTGTGTGTGTCCAGTGGGGGAGTAATTGATTGGGAAATTATAATTCCTGGGTGAAGTACAAAACCTGTGAAGCCAGACTTGGCCTGAGCTCAAACCCTTAGAGACGAAACATGAGAGCAATCCTGTTGATATTCTCCCATGAAAGTTGATGAGATTCATTGTCCATTTATATTTTAAAGATTTTCAATTATGCAATGCACCCCTTTGATAGGCGCCATGTAAAGGTCAATTTGGACTTCACACATTGAGGGTTTGAGTAATTCATTTGCTGTGGCACTCTCATTTTTCTTACTTACAGCAGAACGAATGAGGACTAATGTGGTTGGCCTGCAGTGTGTAGTAATTTCTGATTTGTTCCCCAGTGTGTTAAGTATTCTGTGTGGGCTTTATTATTATTATGCATTAGGCAATACATGTAAAGCAAACGTTTGGTCGATTTTATGGATGAACCATTTTTTTCCAGAGCTGTCACAGTGACTGCATTACACTTAAAATTATATACATACAATGTATTTGCAATATGATGGTTAAGTGTTATTAGCATACACCAAAATCTACAAGAAAAAAAAACAGAAAACTTTAAAAACATGGTCAAATAAAGAAAAGGCAGATGGCAGATGTATAGGTGCAGTATTTAAATATGGTTTGCAAGCTACATGACAGTTTTCACTTTGCATATGAAAAGCACATATGCCTCTTTTTCCAAGCTTTGAATACGATGCTGAACGATAAAACTGAAGCATTTCCTAGAGATAAACATACCTTGTTAGGTACATCACAATTGGCATATCATGAATCATCAGGTAGTCCTAGAAAATGCTTTGCCAGCCACCCAGTAGTAAGCAGTTAGCATGTAAGCATGAAAGTAAGCAAAAATGACACATGTAGTTCTGAGACATGATTACAACTTGGATCATTGGCTAGTCCAACATATATACAAAACTCAACTACCAGCGTTGGCTTGACACCTACACCAGAAAGAAAGAAAGAAAGAAAGAAAGAAAGAAAGACTAAATAAATATATAAAAATTGGCTCAGACTTAATTCCTGCTGTCAAAGTAAATTCTTTTTTTTCTCTTGCAAGGTATCGTTCTCTTAATTCAACTTAGCTATTATTTTTACATTTGCATTATTTATGAGCGATAATTTCAAGGCAGTTGTGACTGCAAAGCACTTTAACCAAAGATAAATTTACCTTTTAAGAGGACAATACAGTGTATCAAACTGAAAAAAAAACTTATTGTACCACAATAATAATGGCTTACTTTCATATCATATCATATCATCTCCTATACTATACTATACTATACTATACTATACTATACTATATATCAAATCATATCATATCATTTTATCTCATATCCTATCATATCAAATCATTTAATGCCAAATACCATGTCATATCATATATTAAATCATTTTATGCAATATATCATATTGTATCATGTCATATCATTTTATGCCCTACATCATATCATATCATATATTGAATTTTATGCCTTATATCACATATTATATCATATCATATCATATTATATTAAATATAATTTTGTATCCTATCCTATCCTATACTATGCTATACTATACTATATTATACTATACTATCATATCATTTACTATATTTTGTATTATATCATGTCATATCAACTATTTGATATCATATACTACATATCATATCATGTATCATATCAAATCATTTTATGCCTTATATCATAGTTTATCATATATCATATTATATCATCTCATATCATTTTATCTCATGTACAGTTTTGCATCATATCATATCATATCATATCATATCATATCATTAGTTTTCCTATTTCCAGCAGACTCATGATCATTTTTCTGCTGGTGTTCAGCTCTCACCTGGTTACACTCTAATCTGATGTGTTGACCTCACTAGCTGCCAGCATAGAAGGTCATGGAAAATATTTCCTGAGCTGTTCCTTAAACTTAACCTCTAAAGAATTTCTTACAAGTAGTTGACGTTTTTATTGTCATGTTGATCTTTCTAAAGCTGCCTCTGGTTTCAATTTCAATGGTCCTTCAAGCACAACTATCATGTAGACTTTGAGAAAGGTCCTCATCCTTCAGAGGAGATACTTAAGTCAATGATGGAGGAGTACCTTTAAGTAGCTCTGCACTAGTAAGAAATTACAGGTACAACAGGTAAACCCTGCTCTTATAAAGAGAGGTAATCATAATAATTACCACCACCACTGTTGTCATCTGTGTCACCACTGTTGTTATTTCTTCTTCATTATACCTCATTGAATCTAATCACCACAATCTTACTGACACCAATGTCATTATGATTATTGTTTCATCAACATTAAAGCCATCATTATCTGACTCACACTTCATCCCCGGCCCCTTCACTCATCTCACAAAGCTGGGGCAAGCTGAACGAGCATTCAGGGGAATGAAAGTGGGATGCAGTTTTTCTAATGTGAGAACAATTACCTGGATGCATGATTTGATTTCATGCTAGCAAGGCAGCCACATCCTGTGAAGCGTAATGGATTTAGCTAAGTAACTCCTTAATGCCTTTTCTGGAGTGCTTTCAAAACCTCTATTGGATTTTTTTTTGCCATCCTCCATCTCTCTCCCCCCAAGCTTTTTGCTGTCTCTAACATTCCCTCCATCATATCTCACCCTGCCTCCTCTGTCTCTCTCTCTCTCTGGCCCCTTGCTCCACCCCGGCTTCCTCTGCTGCTGCGTCTGGTCTCATGGTGCCAGCTCGATGGGATATGAAACTCGCTTGGACGGCTGTGAGACAGCGTGGACATGTCATCGGAGAGGCAGGGAGAAAGGGTGCATAAGATTAGAGTGGTTTTGCTTAGCCCTGCCAGCTGTATATCTGATGCTCTGTCAGTCACATGCTAACCCAGCGTGGACTTGCACTTCAGATTCAGTGAATAAAGTACTGTACCTGAAAAGGACACCATCCGTTTTTCAGTTTGACTCTTAGGGCTCTATTTTCGTGCCCGGCGTATCCCCCTTCCCTAACTCAGCTCTCTCCAGCGGCGTAAGTCGCAGACATGAGACATGTCCAGGTCGAGCTGCACGAGAAATAAGAGGAAGAGGAAGATAGAAATAGGGGGGAGACGAATTACATATCTTGTTAACTTCATCATGTGTTTTTATTAACTAGATATTTAATTTAATTTAATTCAATGCGGTTTCAGCTGTGTTATTCCGGTCAGGTTGTGTGTCCAAAAGCGTGCCAAACGCACTCATCAGATCAGATATAGATCAGAATATATCTATATAGATCTAAATGTATGTGCTGACTATTAGATTATTAGTTGTTGTTGTTGATTATTTATTGCACTGAAATGTGCCTGACACTGTGGAAACCTGCCAGTGATGCATTGGTGTCATATGCCGATACGCCGCCAGTCTACCAAAATACCAGCTGCGCTCCACCAGGTTTGAATCGGCAAGCTTTTAGCGCACTTTACACGCCGCCGGCAAGCACAAAAATGTCACTACGCCCCCTGCTGCGCCACCACTCCCAGCTTGGCGGACCTCAGTGCTCCTCAGTCTACGGAAATACCAAACTGGCTGTACGCCGGGTTCCCCCAGACGAAAATACCACTGCAAGGGGTCTGCCACCCTCCGCTGCGTCACCGGCGGACACAAAAATTAAGCCCTCAGTCTTTTTCTTTTTTTTTTCGTCTAGTGGTAGTCTTTCTTTGAGCACATGAGAAAATTTTGGGATATCAATATAGAGGTCAGAAGATTTGGCACAACCTCACCAACTTCCAAGGTGCTTGGAGAGAAAAGGTCTTGAAGAGATCAAAAGAGCTCCAGTGATACTTCAGGAAACAACTTTACTAGACCCTTTATTGGATATTATTATAGGAAAGTCCGACAAATAAAGCAAAAAGTCCTCGAAATAAGGAGGAAAGACATGAGAAGAGTGCTTGAAAACTACAGTTGAGTTGTCAGGAAGAAAGTTAAACCCCTTAAAGCATGGTTGAGAAGATATTACTATTTTCCTCCATTGATTTGATACACTTCTTCCAAGCAGCGATGCAGCGATCAGACCCTCAAAATGCATTCTGTTAACTTTCAGCGATGTCTGATTCTCCTCACGTATCTCTGTTTGCTTTTCACACCATTATCACAAAGAAAAGGTCTGCAGGTGCAGGCAGTGAGAGCAGAGAGTGTTCAGCTGAAACTATTGCCATTATAGTCCTCTGCAGAGAGAAAAAAAGCTTCTGCTGGTACGGCTAATTATGAGTGAGGAAATATGCAAAGGTTCAAAGAGTGAAACAGAATGTACTGATAATGCACTCGAAGTGACCAACCTGGGATCAGAATGAGTAGGATAATTGCAGTGTTGCAGTAATGTGTAACAAACAGAAATAAGAAGAGGGAACAGCAGTTGTTTCTGAAGGTTTTTTAAATCCCAGGTTGTAATTTAGACTTCTTCACCTAAATCACAGGCAATATACGTACATGATAATAAAGGGAAGACTGAATACTGTACATCTGTAAGTACTCTCAGTGGAATACGATACTGCAGTTTTCCAACTTGATCTCATATGGAGAAAAGAGGGCTTTTTTTCAGAGAACTTCAGAGTTTTTTGAACACAGCATTTATTCTTCTGCAAATTAGACCACATGCTGGTGTTCGAAACTCGTGTGAGGAGTTTGTATCTGGGAATGAAATGATATTGGCAAAAGTAACCCAGAACATAAGAGGGGACAGAGACCATTTCTGTATTGGATTCTACGCTTGTCACCTCGGCTGTAGGGTGGGTGTCAGCTGCATCTACTGTTGGTGTTATCTATTGCTGTTTTCCAGTTACCTTGGAAGTCGGGTCGGGGCTGAGAATGATGTTACATCCAAGTTGACAGCATTCCAGTAAACAAGTCGGAAAACCAAGATGGACACCTACAGTTAGCAGTTGTTTGCGGTTGTTATCTGTTGTTAGTTGTTGTTAGCTATACCAGTTGTTAACAACGCACAACGCAGTGTTTTACTCTTACAAACACCATAGCGCCACGTTCACAGTTAGACATTAGGCAGTACAACATATACCACCTATTTAATTTCACAAAAACAAAACTTTCACTGTTACTCTTTACTGTTGATGCCCTGCGCTGCCATCTTGAATTATGATGTTATCGTCAAGTCGGGGTTGGTGAGGATCATCCAACTTTCTGAGTCATAAATCCGACTTAAGGGGGGCATTCCAGATGAATTTCCAACTCTGAGCTCGGAAATCCCGAACTTCCGAGTACTGCTGGAACGCAGCATATGACCATGCTCAGTGATGCTCCTTGAATCACTGGGAATGTCGAGTATTTCAACATTACACACCCACAGACTCAAGCTTGTATCTCTATGGCAAGCTTTTATGACTCCACAGCTTTCCTCTTTCTCAAGGCCTTCTCATTGGCTGTATTGCAGATGACTTGTTGACAGTCTGTACCCAGTCCTGCATACTTGGAGAGCTTTCTTTTAAAAGCCTCGTCCTTGAGGCTGTTAGCTCCAGCAGCACAGTTTCTTTGATGGGCCTCAGAGACAATTATATTATCTGGCTGCAGGATGGTGGCTGGGGAACCGGCCATAGACTACCAGTCACTTTCCTTATACCAGCTTTCCCTCATATTATCCAATCACACTGTTGCTTCATTCCCTGCTGTCTTGCAGGTTCTTATCTCCTACCTGCTGCTCTTGCTTACTCCTCCTTTCCACTAATATTGGTTAACTGAAGAGTAGGGAAGATACCTAGTCCAGCCCACCAGCCTCCTGTGACACAGCCTTGCCTGTGCTTGCTGAGAGCTATATGCCTGATTACCCCTGACATTGGGTAGGTGTTGGACAAGTAGATCAACAGAATGCAACACACAAAAACAGCAGGGCTGTAAAGTCCTGGTCGACTTACCGGTTGATACGCGCTGAGTCAACAAAAATTCTGATTGGTGGACTCCATTTTTTCCCGTGTCAATTTACAGTCTATGGATAATTTCATCAGGAAGAACGTACCAAGTGTTGATGGGGGTGTTTTCAGACCACACCCGTTTCACAGCCTGTCTCAGAACACCCCTTGTGTTCAACATTTTGGATTCGCCCCACCCACTGGAGACAGGAAGATTGAAGAGCGTCCACGTTAATCAATGTCCAGTAGTTTGCTGAAAATAATATTTGTGTTTAATTGCCTTAGTGCTGATATCAGTATAGTTTCACCCTGCCGAGTTGCGTCGTTCCCCACTGCAGAAGGGTTTGTCGTCAGAGTTGGGAATACCCTCCCACCAGTCAATTTTTAGTCGAAAATTTCAGGGTTTTAGTCGACCAAGAACTTCTTTGGTTGATTACAGCCCTAAAAAAGAGATTCATTGTGAGTTGGCAATTAGACATTTAAATTAAGTAAGGTAAAGTAAATTCGGTTTTGCACTTTGTTCAAGCAAGAAAAAGTCAACCCAGTCAAGACATCTGGATCTCGAACATATTTCTGAGAGATATTTTTCACTCTTTTCATCACTGATTTTCATTAAAATTTCTCCGACCAAAACACGAACTTGTTAAAACTTCAAATGCAAAACTTTGGTGAGAATTTGGCCTTAGGATAAATTGGAAACAGAAAAGGTCTCAGAAAGGCACGGTGGAAAAAAGGGAAACAGAAGAATTTGTTAGTGGTCTGTGGAATACAACAATGATTTATTTGTACTGAGAAAGTCAAGATCATACGAGTGGCTGGTCTCAGGATGAGTAATAGCTGGCACCCAAGGCACGTCACGACCTGGCTGTGAGTTGGCTAAGTGTGAAGAGTTAATGTAACACAAAATGAGAACTGTTTGTTTGTGTGTCTTTTATTTCATGACACTAAAAAATACGAAACTTGGATCCTCTTATCGGGAAATATGAGTAAGAGCTTTTTGTAATGAAATGAGTGTTTTCTCATTACATGATAAGTTATTGTGTAAACAAAAGCAAAAAAACAAAGTGTGTTTCAAAGAAAATGTGTATACCAAAAATTCTTATGCCAGAGTAGAAAGACACAGGAGTTTTTTTTCCCCTTTAACCCATATGCAAAGAAAAATGACAATGATTTCCATAAATTCAGTGGTTGTGAGTGCTGAAGGGTTACATATATGACACCAGTATGTTATATTGATGTGTTTTATAGGAAAGCCTAATTTTGTTGCCCCTAAGTTCTCTCTAAAGTTTTGGAGGTCTGGATAAGTAAGGGTCATTGGATCTAAAACCTGATTTGAAGCTTGTTTGCCGACCAAACAAAGCAGGAAATTGCCAAGAGCCTAAGAGCCTGTGAGGGTCAGAGAGCTTCAGGGTCAAAATAAAGCAAAAGTTCTGTGTTGACTTGACTAAACTGGAACTTATTGGTGAAAAAAACAAGAAACACTTTGATTATACATGCAAAACACTCCCAAAACACCTTGAAATTTTTGAGATGGGTTGCATGTGTGAACACAAACAGATGACAGTTTTATCCTGACTCTACCCAAGATTTTTCTACAAGATCCCATTTAAAGTTTCTACATTAATCAAGGTGGGAAGATGTGAATACATGCAAGGAAATGTTAGGAAAATTAATCGCAAACAAGTTTACATCATATGACCACGGAAGGGCAACACCTAATTGGTTGAGGACAGACATCCATGCTAAGGAATCATTTGTGCTGTCTAGGATTATACAGTGGCTCCTGTAGGGCACGTTTAATGCCGCGTCCTTCCTGTGACATGTGTGAATGAGGTGGCTTGGAACATTTGGGACAAAGATCCTGTCATTTCTCGAAAATTTCATTCTAGGAGTACATCTAAACTGTAGAATAATCTTCGCCCCTCATTAGGCGGAGGAATTAGTTTTAATCTGAAAATAAGAACTTAATTTTAGTTTAAGATGTGCATACACAGAAATGCTTCCTAAATAAATCCCTGCCTAGTTGAGTAGCAAAATGATCTTTATTTGAACCCGTACAGACAATGAGGAGACAATGCAGAGAAATTTGGAGCTTAATGGGGAGCCCAGAACTCATTTTTACCCTGGAGCCACCCACAGGCTCTTTTTCACAACCTGTCAAATCTAATTCCAGTTTGTTCTGGCCGAGAGTGACAGTCGTGGCAAAAAAAAGGAAAAAAAAAAAACAAGCTCTCATAAGCTCAGTCAGTCAGCTGAATAGGATCCAGAACAGATACTGTTGTGATATGTTGTGCTCTCAAATGGAGTCCATTTGAAGTAACAGCTCAAGACTCACACTGTTGTAGAAGTCAGGATGCCGACTTTGCTGATGGAAATATCGAATAAAAACTTGCTAATTGGACACAAACCTATTAGACTTGGAATGACCTCTACCTGGAAGCATCACATTATGTCTGACAAATACGACTCTGTCTTTCTCTTTCAGGCTTTTATTCCTTCTTAAAAAATGCCAGAACCTTTCCCCAAGTGAGGAGGGGGGACGTTGTGCCTGCTCGTGTACATTTCCGCTCAAGCCAAGTCAGAAGGGAGAAAGAGTGTGCAGAAGAAGAGACTCATCTGACTCATAAGGTACGGTGAAATCAACCTATTAAGGTCAATGCAGTTTCCTCTTGCTTTTATTAAGGCTGTCGCTTGTGTGATGGGGTTAAAAGTGCATGTTTACACACACATATTAGTCTAAAAGTGAACTTAGTTGGGGCTTTTGCAGCAGACAGACAGCAATGGACCAAATATTGCAACACCTCCCCCTGCTGGATCTTCTGCAGTGAGATGAGCTGTTGAATAATATAGAGGTGCTCTCTCTCTCTCTCTCTCTCTCTCTCTCTCTCTCTCTCTCTCTCTCTCCCTGCCTGTTCTTTCAGTCTCTTAGGCTCCCATCAGCTTAAGATTTCTATCTCTTTACTCTCTGATTTTTTTTTTTGTCTGAGGATTTTGTTGGTTTAAGAGCTTAAAAAAATCTATCTATCTATCTATCTATCTATCTATCTATCTATCTATCTATCTATCTATCTATCTATCTATCTATCTATCTATCTATCTATCTATCTATCTATCTATCTGCATGTTGTTGTTGCTGTTTACACGGTGGGCAGGGACAAAATACCACATGACTCAATGCAAACCGATAAAGGGTGGATGAAGAGGGAAATGCATTGCCTTAGGGCGGAACAAATGTCAACACAAACAAATTACATCAGCATTAGCAGCACGCCTGAGTGTGTGTGTATGTGTGAGAGAGGTGGTGTTTTGCGCACACACACACACACACACACACACACACACATACACGCACATCATAACAGATGATTTTTTTTGCTGGAGTTCCTTGAAGATTTTTTAAATATGTCCACCAGCTAAACAACTAAATCAAGTCACGGTGGGATTGTAGGTGCACGCCTTGTTTTCATCCCACCAAAATATGACAGAGGGATTATTCAAGTTTACTCTAGAAATTCTTCAAAGATTAGAGAGAGAGGAAAAGGGGGGTGGTAGGGCCGGGGTAGAGACAGAGAGAGAGAGAGCCTGAGGCTAACCCCCATGTAATATGCAAATTTTGCCTAAAAACAACATAAGAACATCACTACGTTGCGGCAGAAATGCATGTTTCCCCTCTATGGCACTCTTACTAGAGTTTAAACAGAGTAATTGCCCCAGAGGTCTGATTGAAGTTAGCAACATAAGAAAATATAAAACAGGTGTTTTGATCTGTTTGCAAATTTAAAACCATGTAATCAGTCTGAAAAGTAAAAATACACATGTGGGAGTTCAGTGTGAGGTCTTTGAAAACAAATAAGTCCTCAGGAATTCCTGGTTATTCAGCTGTTAGAATTACTATGCTGGTTACATGTTTGCATGTACAGGGAGAAAGACTGTTTTTGAGACCAGTATTAACCAAATGTCAAAAAATACAAACAAACTGAGACACAGAAATAACCCAAACTGCAGCTTGGAGTGTACCGTGTTCAAATTCTCTCTAAAACTAAATTTATTGATCTTAAAACTTCAAACACCTATTCTTTAATACTCTGCTAGGATGTACAAAACCTTCCCACAAAACCACCTTTTTAAATCCTGGAATTCACAAGATAGATAAACTGCACTAAACTGATTTAACTGCACTCACTGCTACAGCTACAGCTATGGCTCATTATTATATTCCCATTGTCAAAAGTGACTGAGACACTTAGCTTGTAGATAAGCTATTTAGAGAAATGTGCATCCATACCCACTGGTCACAGGAGAGTGATCCTCCTGCTCTGTAATTAACTGGAAATTGGCCTGTGACAATGTCATTGTCCGGCCCCTCAGCTCTCCCGTATGACATTGTTTTAATGGAACAAATCTATTCATTTTGACACAGCACAGCCCAACCTCAGGCTGATAGCTTATGTAGCTTATGTATCACCCCACTTGCAGTAGTTACAGGCATTTAGCTTATCATTAGAGCAATTGTCTGTCTTGTTGCTGTTGCTTCTGTAGGTAATAAACAGGCAAGTTTCAGGGGCAATGAACCAGATTTTCTAATCTGAAAATGTAATGTGTGTAGTTGATGGTATGTGCGTCTCTTTATGCATGTAGTTAACTGTTAGTAATTAAGCATGTGCACCTGAGCCAGGGACTAATTTCCTCAGAGGTAAATAAAACTGTATCATATCATATGGTGTTATTGTCATATGTCACTTGTAACCTTGCCTAAAATAACATGAGGTAAAGTAACATATTCTCTAATAACATAACATAACATATAAAAATGTAATGTATGACATCTTTACCAAATGGTGTCGTACCATCACATATTTGATTGTGTAGAATTGTATTGAAGTAAATTGTGTCATATCTCTTCGTGTTGTATAATATGTGATATCTTATCCTGGCATATGTGATATCTTATTGCATGGTAAGGTAACATAATTGAATGCCAAGTATTGTTTTGGATGCTATCATATCACATTGTGTCGTATCATGGCATATCATGACTGGCATCTTTGGGTTACATATGTGATAGCTTAATGCATTGAAGGGTGACATATTTGAGTTCCTTATCCTATTATCTGCATAGTGTCATAACGTAATTTTTTGTTATTGTTGAAGGATATATTTTTGGCTGGTATGGTAACAAGTACCTTGTATTGGTTTGCACATTTGCTTATATCGTATTGTATCGTATCGTATTGCATCGCATCGTATCGTTGCATACGTGATATCTTATTCCCTTTTATTGGTTTCAGGTTTCATACTGTATTGTAACCTATCACGTTATGTTGTGTTGTATTATATCATATCATAGTGTATCATGTCTGGTATTTTTGGGTTGCATATGTGATATCTTGATGCATGGTAGGGTAACATATTTGAGTGCCTAGTAATATTTTGCATGGTATCATACTGCGTTGTATGGTAATATATAATAAGTTTCTTTCATACCTATCGTCCTATCGTCTGCATAGTGTCGTAGTCTAATGTTTTGTTATTGTTGCGTGATATTTTATTGGATAGTATGGTAACATTAGTGCGTGTCTGGTATTGGTTTGCACATTTGCTCATACCGTATCGTATCCTATCTTATTAATGCATATGTGATAGCTTAATATGTGGTATGGTAATATGTGGTCATGTTGTATCATATCATAGCGTATCATGGCTGGTATCTTTGGATTTCAGTACGTGATATCTTATTGCATGGTATGGTACCATATTTGAGTGCCTCTAATTAGTTTCATGTTATCATATCACACTGAATTGTATCATAGTGTATTGTGTCTGGTATCTTTAGGTTACATATGTGATATCTTATTGTATGGTAGGGTAACATATTTAGGTTCCTAGTATTATTTTGCATGTTATCATATTACATTGTATCGTCTTGTATTGCATTGTATGGTATTATATCACATCTTGTCTAATCACAATTAAGACAAAAAAGGGGGTTCATTTTTATGTCTTGATCTTGTTAGGGTAAGTTGGTTACTTGTTACCAGACTCACATTAAGTCTGTGTTCAGGTATGACCCAACATGTCAGATGGAACTCTGTTTTTCAATTTTCAGTCTTGTACCATCTCCTTTTTTAACAAGATTTTAAAAAATTGTCTTCACCACTGACATCACTTCGTAACAACTGCCACTCAGCCGGCTGGAATAGAGCACCATATGTTTTGATTTGCTTCTGGTCTGATTAGGATCCATTTGCCTTCCCTAGAATTTGCATTTAACCTGCTTACTGTTGATGGATGCTTTAGCATCCCCTGCATCCTTGGGGAGGCAATGCGAGATATGTGTCGATCCAGTGTACACAGTCTATCAAGGCTTGATTTATGGTTCAACGCAGTGTAATGTGTGCTGCCTACCATACATAAAGCCTCAGATTGAGAGCATCAGCATGCATCCAAAGATAGAAGGCTTTAAACAGATCCGTTTGCGAGGAGAGGGTTTGAATTTGTGTGGTGTTATGTGAAGATGTGACAACACAAATGGAAGCGGAGAAGCGTGTCCTCCTCAAGTCAGGTTTTTTCTTGGGATAAATTTCACGTAATTGCATTGCAAAGTATGATGTATCTCAACTATATATCCAATTAATGTTTCATACTGTGCTTCCTCAGTCACACACCGTGTTATCCTGTAAGTTCTTTATTGATTTATGCTCTTGAGACAGAGAAAAGCCCCAGCCTCAAGAGGAAATCATATTTTGTACCTGTACAAGCCAATACATTTATTAAGGTTACAGCCAGCACTGTGTCATACTCTCTGTAGTCAGTTTTGCAGGACAATCCCTGGAGGAAAACAGGGCAAAACTCTGTCTGAAAATCCATGGTGCAATTATGTGGAGTAAGAAAATGTGATAGAAAGTCCCCCCAAAAAAGTTATGGTTTTCTGATTGAATCCACTGCAACTTGTGCCCTTTGAGTGCCCATTTTTTTCTCTCCCAGAATAGATATTTCAATAGGGCATGTCACGGTAACAAGATATGATTGAATAGCAATGTGTGGCTGAGCAGAAGTGAGATTCATAGCCTTTTGAAGTGCAGAGCTTGTTAGTGATATGCATGGAAACTATTGGTTTTGACAAAGAACATCCGCAAGGCGTTCTGGAGAGGAGAAAAAAAAAAGGGGGGAAATGGAAACACGCCGAAAGAATGGAAAAAGAAATTCAGAAGCGAAAAGAATATTACAAGAAAAGGATGGATATATGAAGGAGAGAAAAGAGGGACTCAGGTTGAACAGGGCTCGGGACAAAGATAACCACAACCAGGTGATTCCTTTACTGACCAATGTGACCATGGTGGATGTGGGTTTACCTCGTGATTTATGAGAGAGAAGAAGAAGAAGAGAGGAACACAGCTTAAGGCTGGACACACACAATCCCATGCACACATAGCATGTATGAACACATAGAAATCACCCAGGGTAGATTAAAAATCACAGCGTGTTACTAGTAAAGGTGAGGCTGTAAATCTATTACCCTTGCTTTATACCTTCCTACTGGCAAATATGTGTTTTTTCCTGGTATTCAACAGTCCCTCCGGCGGTGACAGGTGCAGTTTGTAGCTGCATCAGGTCAGTGCTGAACATGCCCACTGGAGCTTACATTAATACAAGGCAGCTGAAGCACACACACACATATTCTGATAACACCCTGGGAAAAAAAAAAGACATAATTTCCAAATCACAAAATGCTCCAAATAGTCCCGCGCTGAACCATGCAGACATATTGTCCACTTTTGGAGCCAAGTGTGCTTATGCTTTGACCTTCAAGAATTATCCAGTGTTTACTGAATATGGAGCCAACTAGCTTACTGCAGCAAAACTGAAGCCAGGGCTATTGTTCGGAGTAAAAAAGAACTCAAAAACCGCAAACGGGTTGAATTTGTTCCACATAAATCCAGTTGTATTAGTACAAAGAGGGGATTGTATGCAGCAGATATGGTCACTGAATGCACAAACACCACCTTAATGCAGCACAGATGGAGGGAAATGAATAGATTAAATGAGGTTACCTACATATTTACTTAATGCGGGTTGAAAAGAAAATGCATGCAGCAGTTATAATAATGCCAGTTCAAGTGTCATTATTAATTAAGTGCAAACTTAATTAAGTCTTTACAGTGGTTGGGGTCTAACAATCATAATGCACTAGGACTGTGTCACCGGAGTTATTCACTGTTTGACTTAAAGGTGGTGTTTCCATAACTAATTTATAACCACAAAAAGCCCCCACTTGCATTTTAATACATCCAGATAATCAGCCAAACAAAGGACCCCTCAGTTGTCTGGAATAAATATAACCAGAGCCCGCAACAAGCTTGAGACCACTCTTGATACAGGATACTATTTACACAAGAGTTAAAAAGTCTGATGGCTGTGGGTACAAAATTGAAATGATATTAAAAATGATAAAAATAAATAAATGAAAAAATTAATAAAAAAATACAATAAAAATAAATAAGAATAATTAAATAAAAATGAATAAAATAAAATATAAATAACAATAAAAAATAAATGATATTAACCTCTAAAAAGACAGGAAATGGAGAACTGAAATGGAAAAGCTGAGAGTGGCCTACAAAGAAGGTGAGTTAACCAAACTAACCTTCAAAAACAATAATAAAATTATTTTAGGTTGGAAATTTTTAGCAGTAATACTGTCTAGAGTCATAATTTTTAGGGCCTGTTTCCACCAGGAGTGTCTTTGTGCTGATGGTGCTTATTTCCTCTGCAGGATTTTCAGCACACAACACACACTTACATGATTGCTGTTTTTTTGTTTCTGGACTCTTCGTTAAACTTTTGGAACACCATCCTACTCGTCAGTGTCATTGGTCGCTCAATGACCAATCAGAATCAAGGAGGGGGCGGGACTGTGGAAATTTAGCTTTGTCAGCAACAAGGAAAACTTAATCAGACTCATATTTTCTGGTGTATCTTTTCTAGGTCAGGGATGTTATTAAAGTCATGGCACAATTTTTTTTGTGAAACAGTTATTTCAATAGAAGTAGTTCTTTAATATTCAGATCATTCAAAATAGAGTCATGGATTATGGAACAGAAAGTGTATGAAATATATATTTTTAACTAAGGCAATAGTACCCAAGAGTGCTCTGAAACTAAGGTTATAGGTTGCCTACACACACACAAAAAAAAAAAAACTATTGCAAAATTAAACAAAACCAAAAATGCGTTCAGTGGACACAGGCCCTTAATAATCATGTTTTCATTTGTTTTCCTCTAACTGCAATCAACTGCAACTGGGTTGTCCCCTATGTGGCACAAATAAGTGATTAACTCTGATGTAGTACACAGTTTTTCTTTCTTTGTATGATTTTCTAAATGAAAAATTTAACAGCAATTGTTGCAACACACCCCAAGCAGTTGATTATTACAAAAGTCTAAGTATGATTGGCAAATAGCCAATCATGTTTGAGGTAATTGGGATATCAACAGGGTGGTCAGTCAGATTTTGAGTGGCACTCTGCCAACTGTGGACCTATTTCCTCGTCTTTCTTTATCCCCGTTTTATCCCTTTCATTTCATTGTCACCTTCTTCTCTCACTATCATCTCAACATCCCTTCCATTGTCATTTACTTCCTCTTCTCACTTCTCTCTGTAAATATAAACTTTGTTTTTCCCATTCTCTCTTCCATCCACTTGTTCTTTTTCCTGTTCATATTTGCTTCTCTAACCTCTCCTGCCTTTGGCCCCTTTACGCATTCTTGTTGATCATCTCCCCCGACCCTCCCAGTTCCCTTAATGTATTATTTTACATGCCCTTTTGCTCCTTCCTCTCCTGCTATATTTTTCGATCAAATTCTTTTATTCTCCTTTTTTTTTCATTCACCTTTTGAGACTTGCGCCGTCTGACTGTGGTACTTCATTTCAATCTTGGCAGAAGTTCACTCCTCCTGGAGTGCAGAGCAACAAAACATCAACCGCAGTCAAAACTGATGGGATGGTGGAATAGCAGCTCAGTCGTTCACTGGTTAGACTGACCTTGGGTGTCAGCAGCTTCAAGTGAAGAGAGAGACAAGGACAAAGCAAATCAAACAAAGTGCAACACTCTGGACAAAACATACTCTGGTATGACAGGAAAATACACCGAAATGAAAATGATAGATGGGTAGGAGACAAAAGAAGATGTTTGTGTTGTAATGAGAGCTTTAGGAGGTAGGCCAATACACTGATGATATCATAATGGCCTGGAGAGTATGTCCAATTGTTATTCTTACCATCACCCAGTCTTTCTTCAGGACTGACGAGTCTTGCCTCGGGCTCCCTCTACCATCATTAGCCAATGCCCATCGTTCTGCAGCATTCAAACAACACTTAATGACCAGCCCATTTAGATAACCTGTCACTGTGGCTCTGCAGATGTCCCCTTGTATGACTAACATTATCCTTATGGCAAAGGAACAGCTTGTGGGCAAAGTCTGCAACTCTCCGCTCTCAAGAGACAGCCCTGGCCAAGTTTAGCGAGCTATTTTCCACGTCCTGTGTATCATTCTCGCTGCAAATGGTAAAATCTGCAAAAGAGGGTCTCTTACCTCTGCAGTATTTGCATCTAAGCACATTTGAGGTTGATACTGTTGTTATATGGGGCTGCTTTGTGTCTTGGTAATTTGTGGAAATTTCATGCACTGCGACAGAGCCCCTCAGGGGAAACTCTGCCGTCGTCCAATTTGGCTGAAAATAACAAAGCACAGTTCTGGAGTTCAGTTTGGGGTTGAACATCACGGACAGAAAAACTCAGCGCAGTGAGCCAATTCAGAAGTGTGTGATGGCTGTGATAACTTCACATCTTGTACTGTGGAACTGTTGCTGTTACTCAGTGAAGTTTGGTGTAGAAACAGCAGGTAAAAGTTTGCTGTCCCTGTGGAGTGAAGCCAGACTGCAGCACTGTAAAATCCCTAATTTGAAGAATACAGGAACTTTTTGGACTCTTCGCCTGAATTATAAAGTATAAAACTATTATATAATGGATGCAGTGACTATTTGTGGTGTGGAAGATGTCAATCGTGGTGACAGAACTGCAGTGCTAGATCAACCCTGTGTTTTACAGCATTTTGTAGCATATTATTTTGGTGATAATAACCCCCAATTTCCGCCACATCCGGAAAGGCTACAAAAAGGCCGTATCCGCCGATCACAGCTGATCGTAACCATTCAAGTTAATTTGTCAATTTCCACCAGCTTCTTTCTGTTCCGCTGCGGATCGCCGGACTCCCCAGCTGATAGCAAGAGTTCTATTTTTTTCCGGACGCCACAGCATGCCGCATAAATTCAGCACAGATTAGGCCATGCTGGAAAGGAAGTCTGCGCAGACACAAAATAAAACATCCGGCTTATTTTCAAAATAAAACACCCCATGTTTCAGGTGGACCCTATTTCACACCATGCAAATGGACAGGGATGAACAAGTGAGAGGTTTTTAGACGTCATTTCACCCTGGTGACACCATTGATGAGGAGATGCTGATTCTAGAAGTCTAGAAGTAGATTTCCTCTTGAAGTTCACGCTGTTTGAAATCCGCCATGAAATCTGCCTCACAAACGGATCCAGTAGGAATTGGCGGACAGCAAAAATGGAAATTGGGGGTTGGACTGACTTTCTAGGTCTCTAAATATGTAACAGATAAGGAAAGAACCAAATGGGTATTGGACAGGTATTTCTCTCTACAGCTGGTGGAGACCAAAATAGAGCTAAAAGGAGAGTTGATATGGGACATACTGTATGTCACCTTATGTTACAGTCTAAGGTGCTCTCACAGTTTCTCCTTGCCACCTCTGCACCTCTTTGTCAGTGCCCTAAAGCCTGGATATGCTCCTGCTAACACAGAGAGACAAACAACTAAATGCACTTACACTTGCAGGCAATTTAAAGTCCCCAACATGCAAATCCACACAGGGACCAGGTCAAGATTTGAACGACGAACTCTCTCACTGTAGTGCAGCAGATCTAACCCCTCCACTCACCACACCACAACCTTTCAGCCCCGTGCTTACTTGCGCACTTCAAAAACTTTTTACTTTCCCTGTCAATAAAAGCTCTAAAGCCTAATTGCTTCTGCTTTGGAATATTAAAGCTACGCCATATATTCACAAATGCATCTACATTATCAGCAGATTTGACTCGACGTTTGGGCATAAATACAAAATAAGGAAAGGACTCTTTCAGAATTCAACTTCAGCATGGCACTTGAGTCAATCTACTTTGTTACATTATTCATAAAAGATAGAGAAAAGAGTTCAGAGGCTTCTTTGCTGTGTCAGTGTTTCCCTCTTATGCACCATAAAAGTGACTGGCACTCTGTGTAGTACATTGTCACATTGCTGCTTAAAGAGATATTCAAGCGTAAAATTAAGTTAGGTTCAAACACACCGTAACAGCGAGATGAATGTTGACCGCTTACTTCTCTAGTTATACCAACTTTAGTAACGACCGCACGATAGCAATACACAGCGGTCAACGTCTCCACGTGCAAACCTCAACCAAAACGCCACTCTATAGCCACAAATAATGCTCAGAACAGCACCTAACTTCATCAACAGTACATATAGGGTCCCAGCCATAGTACTAGCCACCAAACATCTTTTTAACTTTGCCTAATTTCTTTAGCAAAGAGATCAAACACAACTCACCCACTCTCCTCCAGCAGCCGCTTGTTCATGGGGGGAGCCCTGACGAGTTGATCACTGAGTGCAGCGAATTTCCATGAAGTAATAATCATCACAATAATCATTTTGCACTGCGGACGCGGTAGTTCTTCTGCTAAAGTGTCTCGACCTGATAGCATTTCAATGAAGCAATCATTTTAAATGTTTTTCCTTGAGCTGCGAAACTCCGCTGCACTCAGTGATCAACTCGTCAGGGTTCCCCCAAAAACAAGTGGCTGCTGGAGGAGAGTGGGTAAGTTGTGTTTGGTCTCTTTGCTAAAGAAACCAGGCAAAGTTAAAAAGATGTTTGGTGGCTAGTACTGTGGCTAGGACCCTATATGTACTATTGATGAAGTTAGGTGCTGTTCTGAGCATTATTTGTGGCCATAAAGTGGCGTTTTGGTTGAGGTTTGTGCGTGGAGACGTGGACTGCTGTGTATTGCTATTGTGTGGTCGTTACTAAAGTTGGTATAACTAGAGAAGCAAGCGGTCGGCAACATTCATCTCTCGAGGGGGTGTCTAACTCGGTGTTACGGTGTGTTTGACACTAAATTAATTTTACACTGGAATATCCCTTTAACATTTCATTGTTTTGGACTGGACTTATAAACTCTTTTTTTTGGCCCCTATCAGAAAGAGCTTTTAATAATGGGTGGAATCCACAAAAGAAATGACAGCATCAAAGAGTCCACTCCAATATTAGATTCTTTCGCCCTGTTAGGGAGATGAAATCCCTGATTTGTTTGTATTTGAGAATACAAATAGAAAAAAGGGAGTTTGGATTTTTTTAAGAGTCTTTTGCAAATGTACAATTGGGAAATTGCTTGAAATACAAACAATGCTGTCCTTGGGCACGAAACCTTTCTAACAGGAACATTTACTTTCATTGGGCGCTGAATCTAAAGTAATTATCTTTAGCTCCGAATGTATTTTCCTTGCTGTTTGTGTATTCATTTATTCATTTCAATTGAAGGGGGGGAAAACAAATCACCAATCCTGGTACCTGGCAGAGTAATCCATGGAGTCTACCAAAGGATAATTGGGGAGGCAGTGGAAGAGAGTGACACGAGGAAGCGAAGGGAAGGGAAGATGAGCGAGTAGGGGGGAGAACTAATGGAAATCCCAGGCGATGCGAGTCCCCAATGGGGCTTCAGGCTGTGAATCTAAAGCCTGGAGAATTGTATCAAAGGTTCCTGGGCTGTTTGTGAGGAAGACAGAGCGAAGCCCCGTTCCATTAAGATTGATCTAAAGTTTGAGTTATAGATGTGTGGAGAGCTATTGAAAATAAAGGGGTCTACGTAAGAGACTTCTTGGGAGAATTAAGAGCAATATATGCTGCATCTTTTTAGTAACAAAAAAACAAATGTGGTTGTGAAAATGTGTAGTTTTCTTTCCTTTTCTTGCAATGGTTGTCGACCGTCTCCCTCTGCCTTCTCACTTCTCTTTTGGACACTCTGGCAGGATTCCTATCTTTATGTATTAATGAAGAGAGTGGCTAAATTTTAAAATGTTCCCGTTGAAAAATAAATCTTTGACAGACTGTGTAATGGTCTTCTAAAACACAGGTTTTGTAGTAGTGTCAAGAGGCATCCATGCAGTGCTTTTGCAAAAATTCTTGTCTACTTGTGGATTAAAAAGAAAAAAAAAAGGTAAGCATTTGAAGCAGGAACAATTGGAGTACAATGCTTATACTGTGCTCGAGAGTGGGACATGTCCCCTTACCAACCCCCTTAAATCTGTGCCTGTGAGGGAAAAAGTGACAGACAGAAACAGAGAAAGGAGGAGAATGAGGCAAAGAGAAAGAGAGAGGGGGGAAAAAAATCCTCTTCTCTGTGCTCCTCTGCCAGCAAGAAGCAGCTTTATTACATAACGGTCTCGGGGCTTGGCAGCTCACATGCTTTTAAGGAAGGAGCACACGTTCCTCTGCACCTGAAATCTCATGGCGGGGTGTGAGGAGCCGGGGGTGCGTGAGGCGCAGGTTTGGGAATTTGGGAGAAGAGGCGCAAAGATGTGAGGGGAGAGTCGGGGGGAAAGCAATGTGGACATGTGGTAGGAGACGTCTGAATCGCTCTTTAAGGTGTGAATTATGGACATTTTCATTAGGACTGACCCCACAGTGAGCTCGAGCCGTTGCACTTTACTCTCTGATTTTAATTACTGCATTAGGCTGTTGATAAAAACCAACATAACAAGGAAAAAGTACACCAGTATCAACAACAACAAAAACGAGGCTACTCTGGTACTCGGTGTAATTTCTCACTGTTGTTAACAGAGCTTTGGGGTGTTTACAGTGGTGTGAGATATTTATGATCTGGAGCTAAGGAAGGACAGGACAACGACGTCAGTTCCTTTATTAGTCATAGTGGTACAAAACCATTTCATAATCAACTTTACTGCTTGGAAATTTGATATATCTACCTCTAGATTTTCAATAGGATTCCTTTGGCGACTATAACAGCCTTTTGTTTGACTGAAGTCAGATATCAAGGGAAAAAGCCTTACACATCCCCGGCAACAATGTAGGCCTTAAAGTTTCGCAGGAGTACTACCTAATGTGTTTGGTTTAGAGGAAAAAAAGGGCAAAAGACAGTGACTAATACGACTGTGACTCATTTATAGTAAGATTCTCAGACAATGGAGAGGCTTGTGAGTAAGGGGTTGGAGAAAAGTCAGAGAGGGATGATGTACTTCTGCTTTATCTCTCCCTGTCATTATCATATTTGGCATCAAGTCAGTGGACACTACCCTGTTTATTACCCTGCTGCTAACAATGTGACACTGAGTAATGATTAAAAGATGATTTCATTCGTTTGGAAATGATTCATTTAGAAAGCTAACAGAAGTCTTAGTGCTTCCATAGCAACTGTAGTCTCCTCTGCCAACTTGCTGGTTAAATTTACATTAAAATGGACGTTTTAATTCATATTAGAATCTGAATGTTTTGTTTACTTTGGAGGAAATCCGTTTTTCTCTCTGGTGTAGAATATGCTACACACACATTAGCTGAAAGAGGGCAAGCACATGGATGTGTGCACCCCAAGCTGTTTGGGGTCCCTGACATTGCTCAGGAACTTGGTCCATGCTGAAACTTTAATCCGTGACCCTACTACTGCTACTGCCACCCCCAAACATCCATCCACCAAGCCATCCGTTATCTTTACCGCTTTTTATTCAGGGTCGTGGAGGAAGGGGGGTTGCTGGATCCTGTCCTAGTTGGAAAGAGGTGGTGCATATCCTAGACAGAGACAGAACCATTCATGCACACACACACTCCCACCTACGGGCAATTTAAAGAGACGAGTTAACCTGAAAAGTATGAATTTGGACCTGGGGGGGGACTCAAGCATGTAAGCTCCAAACAGGCCCAGCTCAGGATTTGAACCAGACACCTTCCTGGCAACTTCCTGAACCACCATGCTGTGCACCACCTGCAACCAGATGTAAAACATAACAGAAGCACCTTTACAAGGTATTTTTCCATGTAGAGTCACTCTGTCTTCTTCAATTTGGTAGATGTCTCTTCCACTCAGCACCTTGGTTGTTTTGTGATTTTTCCTTTTCTTGTCACACTTGAGTTTCCTGCCTTTCAAATAAATGTAGAATAACTTAACAATATCCTCAATTTTTCTCTTACTGAAACTATGCTGACATTTTTAGCTTCATAGTAAACAGATATTTGTGAAATCCTTAACGCTATGCATTTGCAGATTAACTACTTTCATGATGTTCTCGGCATCCTTCTTGCTATTTTGTTTTAGGCATTTATATGTACCTGGTTATTTTTAAAAAGAGAGACAATAACCATCATTTAAACCTTTCATTCAGACGCAAACAGAGAATTCGCCCCTGAAAACGATGCTTTTTAAAAACTCCAGAGCGGAGATTTTGGAAAACTCCATTTGCATGTTTGAATGTAAATGGAGAAAAACTGTAGTAAACAGAGATTTCGGTAGCCGACGGCAGATTCTGTGCCGGAAACTGGGTTAAATGGGACATTGTTTACAACCTACAGTCTATGTTTACAGTCTATGGTGATCATGGATGCATGCAGAATAGCAGTCGCATTTATGCAGGTGCGATTCCTTTATGTTTGTTTGCATTTGCATCTTTTCCAAAAGAAGGAAGTGACGTTGTTGTTGCTGCTATGCGGGATTCTGATTGGCTAAAATGGCCCTGAGCTTCTTGCTACACTGCCACCTACAGGTTTGGCATGCTCTTGATGGCATATATACACGGGCTAGTGTAAACGAAAACTTTTCTGATTGTAGTTCACGCAGTGTTTTTTTTTTTTTTTTGGAAACGAGGCGGGTAAAATGTCGGGCCTGTGTAAACGTAGTCTTAATTCCAGTTCTCTTGGCGGTTGATAAATCAGAATAAGATATTTTAGCAAACAAGTGATCAGTAAGATAGTAACGAGTATTGAACACGTGGGCTTCAGCGATCTTCCAGTTGTGTAGGCTGTTCTGTTCGACTGTTTCTACAAAAGTAAATCTCAGTATTCTAACGTCCTTACAAAGACGATTATCAAGCATTTACTAAGTTTGACACCAAAGTTTGGTGATGGTTAAATAGAATACACCATGTAGGCACGTTTACTGGGATTATAAATCAAGTTTTACAAGAATGAACGAAAGTTTATCTCAAGATTTCGTGGACTTGATAAGATAGATGTAACAAGCAATCCCAGTTGATAATTCAGGAGGGAGGAAAATAATGTCTTCAAATGTATTTGTATTACCATTAACATCCAAAAACACTCAAAAAATATCCAGTGTATTTGGTTGATGTTGAGATTTTTTTAAGGACTAGTAATATCTTTAGGACATCAAATTTCTGGGCAAAATGTCAAGAATCCATCTGAAAGTCTCTGCGGTGTTTTATCCAGGAACAAAGTTAATGACAAACCATTAGCCTGACTGACGGACTGTTTCTGCCACCTCCAGCCAGAACAAAAGAAAAAAAAAACAGATTTAAAGATAATAAAACTAAAAACTATTTAATGAGTTCCCTTCAAATAGAAATAGCTGAAATATGGACTCAGACTCTCTAAATGAGACTTTGTCAGTCATACTTATTTGAAGTTTTCATGTTGGTACTTTGGGTCCAAACAAAGAGGTTTCTCTTCTCCCAAATGGTACTTTTAATTTGCAGCTTTTTAACGTACAAGTTTTGTTGTCTTTTCCATCATCTTTTCATGTATTCTGTAAAATTTTGCCAGCAAAGTCCTCATTTATATTTTATATCTGTTTTAAAACGCACATACAAAACCACAGCTTTCATAAGTGTGGTGCAAACTGGACTTTTTTCATCTCTTTCTGCTTTGATTGAGATTCATCCATCTTAGCGACCCACAGCACAAGGACAGAGGTGTAGCCATGACTTTCATTTGTTTTCTTTTTATTTAAAGACTAATGCAGAGAATCAGATTCTACAGGGCCATATCATAACCAAAAGAAACAAAAGAAAACATTTACAGAAGGTTCACCATTTCATCTACATCCATCAGAACCCTATGTCAGTATCACTGATCGACCAACACATTCCTGTGTACTGTGTGTGGCTTTGTGTGTGTACTGTGTGCATTCTGAAAGCGTGTTTGTCCATATGTATACAGTCTCAGTCTGGTTTCTCTAACCCTAATCAAGGTTTGTGCTTTAGAAAATTAGTTTATTTTTTACATTTCAGTGAAAATCAGAACATATTTTGCTTGATAAAAATACAAGAAAAAAAAAAAAACTCCAGTAGGTATCTAGGAATAACCAAAGACTCGATGTTGGAAAGCAAGTGCTGCTGAGAACTGCAATGGACCTTGCATCAAACATGAGGAAATAAACGAGTGATGTGCCTACAAATGTGATATTTACATGTTGGCTCTGCATATGACTGTGAAGGTAAAAGTTGGAAGCTCATGATTGCACTGTGCCTCATATTTCACATTCTCTCTCTGGAGCAGTAAATGTAGCAAAACCAGACCTGGCCCTAAAAAGATTTGCAAATGGTACAAAGCATTTTTTTTTTTCAATCCTGCTTGGAGTACAAGATAGGGGCTTAGCAAAGGTTTTTCCCAACAGAAATTTGTACAAAATTCACTTTTTTTTCTCTTCTTCTCAAAGTCAACTCTCCCGGGTGCTCGCCGCAATTTCGTTGAGCTTCGGAAAGCAAAGCAGAAACAAAATGATCCATTTAGCAAAAAGGGGACATTTCACCTGCCTCCATTTTCGTAATGACAGACAAGCTCAAGAAATGAACAGAAATATTGTCAACAAGGTGATCTTGTTACAGTTTTTGCTCCTGTTTTTTTGTTTTTTTTTTTGTTTGTTTTGTTTTCAGTTCCATCACTTTATTGCAAGTTTGGAGAAAAAGTGCAATCAACAATGAAAGCCATTTTCCCTTCAACCACCTACAAATCCGAAGCGCAAACATAAGTGATAATCCACTGATTTTCTTTGATGACACCCTGTATAGCCATGGTTGAAAGAAAAACAAAAGAACACTAATGTGTACGCAGCTGATAGAAAAGCTAAGCTTTTTTTCTTTTTCTTTTTTTAATAATAGCTTGTAAATCTGAAACACAATGGTCAGGGAGAGAAGAAGGTCAATGATGTGGTTCAAAGCTGTCCTTGCATAGCACGAAGCTGACTACATAAATGTAATGTTATTGTTCTTCTAAATGTGCAAAATGCATAACAATAGGTTGATAATACAAACAATATTCATCATCTTAGCTAATATCTTCATTAATAGAATCAAATACTGTATGCATTATGTATTTTACATATGTATATAGACTTTTTTCTTCATGATAATAAACATACATACAATAGTTTAGAATTCAAATATCTTTATACAACTCTTCGCCCTGAACTTTGCAGTTCCGTGACCCTCTGCTTGTAAGTTAAGTGGCCGTTAATGGTGGACTGCTTGCACACGGTTTGCAAAGACGTCCGCCATTACTGGAAAAGGTTCATAATGATAATGCAAACAATAACAATAGCAACAACCTCCAATCTGTCTTTCGTTTTCCCTCTGGCGTTAGCTCGATCTCCTCACCCCAGCGCACAAACACACAGAGAATTCTGCAGGGTTCCCGCATGCCTTTCGGCCTGCTCAGCGCCCTGTGAAACATATTGGGAAAAAAAAAAAGAAGCACGCCCTCAACCCACAATGCAATACAATGCACCCCCACTCTAGGAGCCGAGGTCTCAGAACCCAAGATGGACACACAACGTGATGACTGTTCGTCTAAGTAGCTCCTGGATTTACACAGATAAAACTACAAGTAAGAGAGGGGTCAATGTAAAGCTACAATGGATATTTTCCCCCTAAACTGAGTGTCAGGTTCAGGTCCTAAGAAAAGCCCTTGCTAAGTAATATTGCTACATCAACATAATCTAAAATGGACTGTTCGGAAACCTCAACGTGCCACGTCAGAGAAGAAGCATCTCCTTAAAGAATCTGTCAATAAGTTAAAATAAAAGAAGAGCAAGCGATGTTTTAAGACAAAGAAACGGAAAGCATTCTTTTCACATCTGCGTTAGTTTCTGTTGGTTTTTTCTCGGAAGAGGGATTGACATCATGCTACAAAAATATATTCTTCTTCGTCACTATCGTAGAACTACAAGACAAGTCCTCTGTGCGAAACACAGCGCCGGCTAAAGTAAGATTACAGTGCCACTTCCACTCAACATCCCCTCTCTCCTTTCTCTCTCTCTCTTTGTCTGTCTCTGTCCCTGTCTCTCGCTGTTGCTCACCGACAAGCAGCAACAAATGAGTCCAAACGGGCGTGTGATACTGAAGGCAGTGTAGCTGGTACTTTCTGAGTGTTACGTCTCAAATTTTTGGAACCGAAAAGAAATGAGAACTATGGCAAACCGAGGGTGTGGGGACACGGTAGGATGGGAAAAAAAAAACAAAAAACAGACGCGCCATCGTTCAACAAAGTGGTAGCCAATCAAAAGCTTCGACTCTGAAAATGGAAAAGGCACTTCTCCTCCCTCTCAGTGTGCCCCGCCCTCTTTTTAAGCAAAGCTAACTTTTCAATGGCGCTTTTATCGGCGAATGAGGCCCCACCAGAAATAAAACCAACAAAATACATAAATAATGAGTGTTTTTTTTAATACTCCAGGATTTGAGATGATTTTTTTTTACATTCTTACTCATAACTAGCCAATCTCAGTTTACACTGTTGATGTTGTTGTTGTTGCTGTTGCCATCAGTGTGTGCTCGAACACACACTCGTTGAGAAATTTCTGTGTGAAAGCAGCTTCTGAATGGAACGCTAACTTGGCGAGAAACAGTCACTTAAGCATGAATTAGACCAGTATATACTCTGAACTGAAACAGAAATTAAACATAAAGAAAAACACTCTTCCATGTATTCAATAAACATACCCTTTAGTTACACTCTGCAAAGCTGAAACAGAATATTGACATCTCTAACACTTTGTAATATTTACAACGCTGTGAAAGGAACTGAAGAGTATTTTCAACGCTGAGCACATGATGATCGGGTTCTTGTGTTCTTTTTTTAATCCCTAAATAAATGATGTGTCCACTGAGACATGTTTTATTGCTACTGCAGAAACCTCTAACGTATTTTGAAGGATGACATAATTAATCTCATAAAACATCTACAGAGAGTTAAAGACAATTTGAAAGAGACCGAGCACAGCCTCTCGCTGCTGATTTGAAATAAACTAAGCTATCTGTCGATGTTGATCTATATTCTGAATAAATAAATATAAATAATAAGATGCCCTGACCATGCATATACACAAGTGCCTTTTTCCGTGTCTGTGACTCCATGTTTGAATAAAACAAAACAAAAAAAGATACCAAACAGAGAAACAAAAGCCCCTAAACAAGTTTGGGCCATGTGCAGTTGTAGAATAGCATTCTCTTGGCTATATTAATAGTAGCATTTTCTTAGTAGCATCATCCGAGACCTGAACAACACCCTTTCAAATGTCTGTGTCATTATCATTCTTCTTTATTTTTTTTTTCTCTATTTAGTTTTTTTTTTTCAAAGTCAAACTTTAGGTAAACATAGAAGCAATGCAACAACTGGGGATTCAAACCAGCATGGACACCATGTTTGTCTGAAAATAAACACCTGTTTGTTTGTTTGTTTTTTTTAGGAGGAATAAGAAAGAAAATGAAAAATAAAAACAGAAAGATAAATTACAGTTATAATTGAATAAAAGGAATGAAACATGGATTAGTGTGGAGTTACCCCCTGCAATTTGGGCTTCTTATTCAAGTAGGTCGCCCAGTAGACCAAGTTAAAGGTTCCAAAGAGCAGAGGGAAGGCTATTCTGGCGATCCTGTCAATCTTGCTCACACTGTTAAAGGTCTTCTTGGCCTCTGGAGGCTTGGGCTTTGGCTCCTCCTTGGGCTCAGTTGGAGGCGGCGGGGCGCTTTTGGCAATAGTGGCCAATCCAGGGTCTCTGGCAATATTGGGGGCGAAGGCTGTAGCAGTGGCAGCTGGGTAGGCTGTGGTGTTGTTCCTCTTCAGGAGGGATTCCTTCTTCTTCTTTTGCTGTTTTTTTTTTTAGGGGGACACAAAGTTTAAGAGATGGCGGTCAGGTTTGTGAGGACACTCAAATGAGGCTGCTTCATTACTGATAGAATGGAGAAGCCAAGAGGCTGTATTAATTGTTTGGATGGGATAGTGGCATATAATTTGATATCAGCTGCTCTCTGAAATGTAGAGGAATTCTTGCTGGGTTTGGCGATGAACATCTTTGGGCTGCCATCATCAAACCCCAGCTTTGGTCTCTGGAGATGGGGAAATAATTGTGCTACCCCGCCTCCTCGCTTTCATTCCTGTACAATCACCACAGTGCCTTTATCGTCCACAGTATCAGAGTCCAGAAAAGACTCACTCTGTATGTTTACACGCTCAATGAAGTTCAGCTACGCTAACAACTTGTCCCAGTTTACAGATTATTGACAGAAGCAAGTCCTGCCGCTACCGAAGCAGCCCCTTTTACACTCGTTTTTACACTCATATGACCTACTGCATGAATTAGCATAGGGCTGGGCGATATGGCCTCAAATCAATATCACAATATATTGAGCAGTTCACCTCGATAACGATAAATGGGCTTTAACATTCCCACATTAACTTCATCTACTTCAGCCACTACAACTTTTGAACCGCCCTCCATCTCCTTACCTGTCTTTCCCTCTAGCCATGACATGGGCAACATGACGTCAGTTATTATCGTAAATTTCGGTATCTGTAAATTTTCAGTTTATCGCCCAGCCCTAATGTAGCATATCGCAACAATAAAACACTTACAGCTCTGTATCTTTTCAATGCATAATAAGACAACTTTATCTTTTTTGCTGTTTCTTCTTCTTTTGTTGAGGTTTTGTTTATGACCCAGCATCCTAGCAACACAGCTATGCTATTCAACTTCCAGGCTAAAGCTTAAGCCGCTGAATACCTACAGTTATTATGACTATGAGAGGTTCGATTAATTGTAATTTCAGTCAGACTAACGTGTTTACATCTATTTAAAAAGTCCCGTTTCAGTCAGACTTGTAAACAAACTGACTGAATTTGTTTTCTGGCTTAATGCGTGTTTGGTTGGACACTCTGTATTTGTAGCACATTTGCTGTTGATGCAGATGTTTTGGCTTTTTCTTACCCCCTTTTTTCATTTTCAGCCTATTTTCATCGGTTTCAGACTTTTGCATGTATTTATGAGTTTGCACCATTTGTGGACATGAAGCTCTTTTCTTCGAGGGAAAATCACGATTAAATGAAAAAGAACAGCCGCATATATCAACCCAATAAGAGTGGGCTGAAGCTTTGGCTTTTTATACCTACACTTTTTTTTCTTAGCATATAATTATAAGTCAACTGTTTTGCTCGCGGTTTCATCCAGACTCCTGGTAAATAGTGAGTCATCTCATCATTTTTCTCATGATAAGATGCATCTGAATAGAGGCATTAAATCAGTAATTTTAAATTAATACAGGAGACTTCTTTTTTTCCATCCAACCCAGCCGGGCTATAACACAGTGTGGTTCTGATAACTGCAGCAAGAGAGACAAGTGGAGCAGAAAGCACAAGATGAACACTAAACTATTAATGTTCATGTCATGTAACTCAAATTGCATTTTCTATGAGATGAGGTGGCGACAACAACAAAATGTACCCTGCCTAGCACTGCTAAGTGCTAACTGTCCTCTTCGATGACTCTGTGAATCATAAATCCAGATACGCAGTTTGGAGTGTTATTTTTCATTCACTTTATTATTGTATGGGTTTTCCTTTCCCTGTCTACTCCTTTATTACCCTGTTTTTATAGTTTTGCAATATGTTAGCGTAACACTGAAACTAGGGTGATCATACGTCCTCTTTTACATGTCCTCTTTTGGGGGGATATCTGTGGGGAGTTTATAAAATCCTGCAAATGTCCGGGGTTTTGTAGGTATCTCCAGCAGGCCTGGTAAAGTTAAGGTGACCAGGGCAAGCGTGGGCTGCATTAACACAGACAACATCTCGGTACAACTTAGTAGCAGCGCACGTCCCCCCGCAATAACCCCTCGTAAAAACCGTTGTTCAGGACTGTGCGCAACATGCTTGCTTGGCTACTGCAATAACCGTTGTTCTCATCAACATGCAACATTTTTGTTCTCATTTATGAAACACTAAAATCAAGGACATTTCCTGGGACAGCTTTAGCCGGGGACAGGTCATCCTATATGGGGACTGTCCCCGGAAATAGGGGACTTCAGTGTCTTTTTGGGAATTTGTAATATGTGTTCAACTGAGTTAGAAGCGTGTAAAAAACACTTGACCTGACTCGGAAAACCCTCAAAATGTTGCTAGTGCACGCGCAACTCCACCCTGTGTAGAATTGTCCTCTTTTGGGGGATTCACGATATGGTCTGTCATATATGGTCCCCTATTTCCAGGGATTGTCCTTGGAAACAGGGGACGTCTGGTCACCTTAGGTTAAGTGTCTATTTGGGAATTCAGAATATGTGTTTAACTGAGTTAGCGCATTAAAAACACTTGACCCAACCCGAAAAACCCTCAAAATAGTGCTAGCGCAAGTACAGCTTCATCGGTTACCCTTTCGTCTACGGCACACTTATTACTAGGTAATTTACAAGTAATTACCTACGAACAAGATGAAATTATCTGGTAATTACATGATAACTACTAAGTCAATACTGTCTAGTTTTTCTTTTTTTCCTTTTTCTGTGCAGCTCCATTTTCAAAGGCTATTTGGGGTTCTTATTCTCTATGATTGACACTTGATACAGCCTATGGGCGTGCGAAGACTGCGTAGCGATCCGCTGTTTTAGCCGAGCATTATCACAGCGACTCACCCGCCGAATGCGTACAATGCTACTGCGCAAGCCGTGGTTCCAGGAAGGGGAGAAAGACTTGGAAATACCAGAGCAATTCAGCTTCAAATTTGTATGATGATGGAAGGTTACCTACCTGGTAGCTAGACAGTATTGACTTAGTAATTATCATGTAATTACCAGATAATTTCATATTGTTACTAGGTAATTACCTGTTAATTACCTGGTAATAAGTGTATCGTAAACGAAAGGGTTACCGCTTCACCCTGCATAGTAGTGTCCTCTTTTTAAGGATTCACGATATGGTAACCCTAACTGAAATAGACATCTTGTGACTTTCCCTTTACCATATTTTGCCAAAGTCCTGTTAAAACCCAAAATTTCCATTACCTTCTCTGGCACCACACTTTTTCCGTCCCAGGCGTAACCCCTCTTGGTGAAGTAGTTGACCGTGGCAAACTCAATGAGGGCCGAGAAGACAAAGGCGTAGCAGACGGCGATGAACCAATCCATAGCTGTGGCATAGGCCACTTTGGGGAGGGAGTTCCTAGCGCTGATACTGAGTGTGGTCATGGTCAGGACAGTGGTCACTCCTGCAGGGAGAGAAAAACATGAAGTTTGAGTTGTTGGGATTTCTTTACTGAGGTATGAAAGTCGGCTGGTATTCTTGAGGGTAATCTATAAATGCAGATGATGTAGTTGCTGTTGTTAAGAGTTGTTTTTTTTTCACTGATGCTGCAGAGAAATGCATTTGTTATGAAACACTGATGTAGTCCAACTGAAGGTAAAATCAACTTTCTTTTGCCTGACTGATGCACAAGCACTCACAATAAAATTAATAATGAAAATGCACAAACCGTATTTCGTTTATGCGTGTTTTAAAACCAAAGTGTCTCATATTTAGGAGTCTATGTCAGCCCCTGAAAAACCAAATCTCTAAACTGCAGCTGCTGAGAGCTGAAACAAGACACTGTGCAGAGAGGCAGAGGAACTGGGTCAGAGCATATCTAACGATGCGGTGCTCATCACACAACAGAACAGGCGACTGCAGATGTTTACACACCAAATAACATCAGCCAAAGCAGCAAACACTCACAAATTAAACCTGAGCTTTCATGACAAACAGCTGGCTCGTTGCAGGAATTATAAAATATGCAAAAATGACAGTAGACATGTTTATGTAAAAGGCACATGCAAATTATACACAAACAGACACATTTCCATCTTTGAAGAGCCGCAGAACCGGCATGCATGCATGCAGCCAGTCCTCAAAATCCTCAGGAAATGTAGCATGACTCTCCGAATGATGACAACCATTTGAGAAAATAAGTTTTGGAAATTGCTCCTTCATGCTGAGCAAACATCTGGGAAATGTCTGGGACTCTGAACAATAAAAACATACTTAATTAAATCAGTAGTAAGATAAGCGAAAGAAAATCTTCGCTCTGATATGAAGAGAGGAGATTTTGATTGACTCCTTATGTGGTCGTGGTTTTGTCGTCCTTTGCGGCTAAAGTCATCATGACTGCTGAGGATTTGTTTGTGGCTTTGTGTTGTCGTTTTGTAGCGCTCCATGTATACTTATTCTTTTTATTCTCATATTTATAAAGTAAAACAAAATAGTGATTTTAATTTGCCGCTAAGTCACTTTTAAATGCTAGCCTGCCTATTTGTTTTAATTCAGATGCCTCTTAGAGATGCTTTTCTTGGGTAACAGCTTGGCCAAGCGGTTTCTGGCAGTCTGGGTTTAACTTCAACCTGCTGCCCCTTTCGTCCATGTCACTCCCCATATTCTCTCTAAGTGTCCTGTCCTCTCTGAATGAGGGCATAAAAGCCTAAATATACAACAAAAAAACTAAAGATTTGCTCTGCTGCCATTGCGTGGATTGCAGGACAGGATCTAAAAAAATTAGCTTTGTTGATTTGATATGAAGTGTGATCAGGTTGTCGTGGGTGTTGCTCTTGCAACTTAGAATAAAGACCCATCATTGAGGGTTAACAAGTACTCAACAAAGCCAGGTGATCAGTAAGAAAGTATGTTAGTATCTTACATCACAGTAAAATGCAGATGTTATTCTTTGTAAAGATTTAACAACTGGGAGGCAACACATAAACCGTACAATTTTAAAGACTCAGAAACAAATCATAATCCAAAGCCTCATCTTGAAGTGCTGAGATGATGATTTCTACAATTTAGAGTACAAAAAATAATGCTAAGACAACTAGTGGGATCTTAAGTGGTCAATTCAAATTAAATAGGGGGCCCATCCACCCTTGACTCCCCCTCTGGACACACCCCTGACTGCGTATTCAAGAGTCATGTGCTACAGCGAATAACGCTCCATTTATTGGTATGCTCCTCTCCTTAATATCAATAGTTGGGTAAAGTGTGTCTTTATTTTTCTCACATCTATCTTCGTGTATATTACAAGTTTGGTTTGTTTGGTACCTCTGATAGAAAACGAATTTCCAATCCAACCAGCAAAATAGACACTGCTGCTTTCAGACTCTTCTTTTAAAGTTGTTTCATCTCCTGTAATTTTCGTGACCAACAGGTCATACCACAAATTTCCTGCCTCTGTGCACTTTTAGTTTTATCAAGTCAACTTCAAAAGCAGACATCCAAATCAAAATCCTCCAATCAAGCAGCCAAATACTTTTCATTGCTTCAGAGATTAATTTGACTGATCTTTACCCCTGCTTTAGTGATTAACAAGGATTTTGTTTTTGGAGAAGAATTTGCTGCAAAAATGTGCGATTATTTTATCATTTTGAGTGAGATATATTTCAAGGTATGAGCCAATAATGTCCACTGTGAAAATTAACAATCCCAGCATCAAGAAATATCACTCTCGCCAAATTTTCTCCTTCGTTCCGGTCCACTGTTTTGTAAAGATTTGTCTTCGATTACCTTCTATAGCTCTGTGTTCATAAGCTGGTGCTAAGTAATTACACGTGTCCTGAAATATTTACCGTTTCCCCTCCAAATTACAAATTCTTCTTACTCTTCCTCCTCACTTCTGATGAAGCGCTAAGGGATGAATCACCGATTCCTCATCCTCCCACTCTCTTTTCACATGCTTTTGGCATAGCTTGCTGGGTGCTGTGACATGAAGCATAAAGGATGATTATAATGTTCTCATTAGTCAGAGCAGAATAAATGATCGTTATCCGTAACCGAACAGGACAACTCGGATAGATTTACGGCATCTGCATACACAAGCTGCATGATCATACATTCCCCGTGTTCATTATCACAGCAAAGGGAACAACAAATAAGTAGGTCAGCATTATTTATTCCGTATAATTTACCTTTGGATTTCTGTTTTTCTGAGCATTTTATGGCATGTCTTTTTGTCAAAACATTCAGGTTAGATCATTTTTTGTTTGATAAGATTACAAAAGACATGTAAAAGTAATAAAAATGAACACCTGCCTCATTTGTAATTAACTTTGGCATGTGCTAAACTGGAATAAAATAAATAATAATGGCCCATTAAAGCAAGAAAGCAATCACTAAGACCGATTTGATGCGAGTTCAAGTTTTCAAGAAGGGAAAAAGATTGTGTGCAACACTTGACTGTAGAGAAATGTGAGGTATTTTTATGCCACAGTCAGTGTATATTCGGTTCTTGTAAAACCCACACATGACCATGTTCTGCACTGCACCCTCTGCTAAGTAGGGCATTCACTGGTTTGTTGGTATATTGTTGCAGGAATGCATGGCGGCAGGAGATATGAAAATATCAAGTGATGCTTAGTCACATATTTATGCCAGATTTCCCTTCCCTTTCATCGCCGCTCAGCTAATTTCTATTAGCTAAATAGCATTTTTTTCCAAGGGGGGGAAACAGCAGGGGTTTTTTTTTTTAGGAACATGTCACAAGATGTTCACGTTCAACTCAGTTGCAAATGTTCACTGACAACATTTGCCATTTGTGTTCCCTCAAGGAGCAAAACACTCGCCCACACGAGAGCTAAATCAGAAACTGGACGAAGAAAGTGTTCACATTCTGTTTTGTTATTTACTCTCTGAGAAGATGAAGCCAAATTAAGACGGTGATAATCAAGCCTCTTAATGGACGTTTGGGGGAATGGAAAACAGACTACACTTACGATTAATTACAGGGGTGTGTTTAGGGTTTGAGCTAGATTCAGAATCTAGATTAAAACTCAGTTATGAGGTTTTGTGGCTGAGGAGTTGTGGCTGGTTGCTTCTTGAAACAGACTCAAACCTAAAGGAGATTGTGTGTTTGGGGTTTAAAAAATAATAGATGTTTGACTCGAACTGAGAAGTGTTAACTCTGTTCCAGGGACATTTTTAAAACAGCACATTTGTCTGGTTGCCTTTGTTTGACCTGTCTCGGTCTGCTTTTAAGTAATTGTTTTTAACGTCTGTTCCTGTTAATCCTGTTGATTCATTTCTTTATCTTTCGCTGTGAATCACTTTGTGATGTCTGCCCTTGAACGGCGGTTCATTAATAAACTTTACATGCTTATGTTTCACTTACTTGGTGTCACACTAATGTCCTTAAAGTCCCAACTGATTGTTTTTGTTGTTTTTTACCACTTTAAGTGTTCTCAGTGGTCTTTAAACTGTGATAATGACAGTTTTCGCCAAACTCACGCCACCTGTGTCATTTTTAAAAGCTTTTCTTCTGAGGTGGAGACGGCGCTGCTCTGCACACTCCTCTTCATGCTAGCTTGTAGTCTAACATTGCCGGCGTAGTAGAAGTGGCAGGTAACATATGAGCTATTCAGCTCTCGGACACTAACGTCTTTGGGGACATGATGAAAACTAATATCATAATTAGCTTTCTTATATTCCATGTTGCAAGAGCCAGTTTCCATAACCGAGGATCAGTTTACCGGTCGATCTACGTGCCGACCCTCACCTATGGTCATGAACTTTGGGTAATGACCGAAAGAACAAGATCGTAGCTACAAGCGGCCAAATTGGGTTTCCTTCGCAGGGTGGCCGGGCTCAGCCTAAGAGTTGGGTAAGGAGCTCAGACCGCTGCTCCTCCGCGTCAGGAGGAGTCAGTTGAGGTGGCTCAGGCATCTGGTAAGGATGCCTTTTGGACGCCTCCCGTTAGAGGTGTTCCGGACATGTCTCACCGGGAGGAGACCTTATGGCCTGGCCTGGGAGCACCTGCGGATCCCCCCGGAGGAGCTGGCGGAAGAGGCTAGGGTGAGGGCCGCTTCCCCTGAAGCTGCTGCCCCCGCAACCAGGACCCGGATAAGCGGTAGAAAACGATGGCTTTCTTACGAGCACTGCTAACCGCTATCACACACGCTTGTTTCGTGATCGTCCTCTCTATTTCTCCGAGATTGGGCTGCATAGTGTGGCTCTGGGGGCGGAGCTTGGATTTGTGACGTAAGAAATCTTACTGAATCTGAGCCTGCTGTTTGAGTCTGCCGGAGATTCACCCGTAATGCGAAAGCAGAAATACTCCGAAATGCAATTTCACACTTATTTTTCTCATGATATGTCCTCTAGTATCAGAAAATTGCCATATGAACATGAAGACAACAAGAAAAACATGATTTTCACGGAAGTGGGTCTTTCATTTTGATTGGCTATTAGCATAATCAAAGGCAGGAGTTGTATTAAACTCAGGCTGCCCCACATTTGTAATTTCCTCTTTTTTTACAGCAGATTTTACAAAACTCTTCAAAAGGAAACTGAATTGCAGGTGCAAGTTAGTCACATGGGATTATGGGACCATGGTGTTACCTTTTCAGTCATTTTCAGGTCTTGAAGAGCAGTGTCTCCAGACTCTAGAGGAGTGTAACCGCTGAACATTATGGTGTCGCTGCGTATTAATACTCAGCATTGGAGAACAGCCAGTGCAAAGCCATCATGTGCTCTTTATGGTCTCAGCAGGTTCCGGAGCATAAAAGAGCACAGCACCTCACATCCACTAAAAGCGACGGACGTAAAGATGAAGAAAATGAAGGATGAATAAGAGCTGAAAGGGAAATCTGTCATAAAGGAGGAATAGATAGCCAAAATACAAGCGTGGGAGGAGACTGAAAGCCTGAATGCATTTTTAGAGACACGTGGGATCGAGTATGGAAGGGATAAAGGCAGGTAATGGACGGCGAATAGAAGGAGGGGCGGCTATAGAGTGATGTCAATCTGTCCGGTATTTTATTTGCCAGTAAATCAGCTAATTTTTGCGAGGGCGGGCGAAGCCAGCACCACTGGGTATTACACAAGTCCTCACAAAAAAAAAAAAAATGCTTGGAATCATATATACTTTTAGTGTGTTTGACGAGCTCCGTTGTCATGGAAACAAGTCTTCCAACTCCTCCAACGTCTCGAAAACCCACAAGAGGAAAATGAAAAGAGAAAAACATTTGGTGATAAAAATTTGGGACGCTACATGAATTGGACTATCATGAAGTGTTGGTTCGCTTTGTTGATTGGACACACTGGTTTCTTTGAAGGCTGTGTGTGTGTTTTTGTGTGTGTGTGTGTGTGTGTGTGTGTGTGTGTGTTTTATTGTGGCATTTTCAACCTCAGGAGGAAGGATCCCCTTTGTGTCTGTTTAGTGATAGTCCTACTTAAGAGTCATTTATAACACTAGTAAGTTGATTCATTAGGACATGGCTCCCGAGCTGCTTTTAAATGACTCCGTTTGACATGTTGTAACTAATAGACTTAAGGCTTTGAAGGCCCTTAATGAACAAAGTCACTGATCTGGAAAGTTCTAACTGGATTAATAGTGGTGTAACTCAATTCTAGGGACTTCCTTCCACTCAATTTAACCCCAGTGAGCAGAAGCAGTGACACTTGATTTCCATGATATAGCTACATCTGCTAACAAGGTCTTTAACTTTGTTTACACACACACACACAAACAGGAAGATAAGAAATAAGATAGGAGAGAAAAACGGAGAGGGAAGGAAGTTTGGGAAAGGTTAATAACAGTTTGGCGTGTTTGCATGTGGACAATCTATGGATGATCATGATAAGTTTTGCCATTCTGCTGATTATGACGGAGCATTAGGGCCACATTAAGAGGAAAAAAATTGAGACCTCAGAATTACTTAAGAGAATAAAGTCGTAAAGTAAATGAAGTCTTAAAGCTGCTTTTGTGGAGGAGGAAATGTCTGAACTGGTCGACTGCAGAGTTATCTGTAGGTGCATCAGTGGGTTATTCAGAGGGATTTTGCAGTTTCTCAAGAAACAATCCAACTGATGATCAACATTTGCAATTCAGAGGTAGTCGAGCTCCGACGAGCACCGCGTCTGTCTCTGATGCCGGCAAAACACCAGCAGCAACCTCCACCTGCAGAGGCACCAACACTTTACGGCAAATAGATTCACACAATAAACTAAAGCCGTATGCTGTTGCATATAACAGCGATTCTGCAGAAAAGATGCATTTCTTGCATATGTCCTGATACTTGATGACAATGTGATGCTGAAGTGCCAAAGAATTTAGTATCTTCTTGTTTGTGAAACTTGGCTACTGAAGTTCAACTCATCTAAAGGCTCCACAGCGCTCATTTAAACAACGGGTCAGAATAGCTATTAGGTACGACTTCATTCTTGTAAGAAATTACGATGTCTTAAATTTTTTTTAATCTCAATGTGTCCCTAATGTTCCATCGTAGAATAGCTAGTAGCTATGACTAAATTCTTGTAAGTAATGATTTTTATTACGACTTTATTCTCGTAAGTAATTTGACTTTGTTATGGTAAGTAATTATGAGGTCTTAATTTTTTTTATCTTTATGTGGCCCTAATGCTCCGTTGTAGTTGATAACGATAAAAGTCCCGATATAAAAAATTATAATTCCTTTCTATGTTTTGGACTCATTCTGTCTTGAGAGCACCAGTTGGCTCAGTCAAATAAGATATTTAACCACAAGTTTAAGTGGTTGGTTTGGAGAAAATTGGTGAAATGTGAAAACATTTTCAACATTTATTCAAAACTCTTGTTGCACAGAGTGAACAGCAGCAGATCCTCTGTCCAATGTCAGGCATACCTGACTGCGCTCATCTAAGCTCAAATCTTGAAGGAAATCCCTCATGTGGAGCATCGTTCAACAACGAGCTGCTCAGAAATGTCTTCTTCATTACCTTCGGCCATGTTTGTTTGCTATTCTGCTTTGTGTTGGCTATGGCTGCGAGTTCGTCACTCGTGCTTACATCATCAACTTGCATGTGTTGCGCTTATCGTATCTTGGTAAATCAGTTTCTGACAGAGAAAGTCAGAACCTACCGAAATCTGATCTATTGTCTACCAGGGTAATATAAATGATGGAGTCTTATTGCTCATCTACCTGAGTGAAGACGCAGTCGAGAAAATAAATTAATCTTGGAAAGTCTAAAAATAAATCTCCCGTGCTGTATGACTTCAATTTTTCTTGTCCCTTCAGGTCAAACGGTTTCTCAACAGAGGGTCCAAAGTCACTCCACATCATTGTTGTTGATCTTTCTGACAATTTATTGATTGCTCTCTTGGTTCAAACTTTGGCACTTGATTGACAGCCCTTTGAGTGATAGGTTTCAGCTTATCCAACCAATCTGAGGCCAGTGAGTAAAATGTGCTGCTCAGCCATTTGAGCCCAGCCAGGCCACAGATCTCAAATCTCTGTCAAGGGGTGAGAGAGCGAGCCCTCAGGAAAATGGCTTTTCTCTCCCTCTCTCTTTCTCTCGCTTTCTCTTTCTCTGTCTTGAATTTGCCTCTGACAGTGTTTTGACTGAGTAGGCAACCAATCGAATATGACAATCACAGTGTGGGAAGAGGTCAGAGGGACAAAGAGAAGTGGGACGCAAGCCCACCCAAGGAATGTTCGTGTGACTCGGACTCTGTATCCAGGACGGGCTCTAAAGAGGGACGCGTCTTAAAGTTGATGTTAATGAACTGTTTAACTAACTCTTTAGATAAAAACTGTGTTTGTGTTCAAGGCTTTAGGGCAGCTTTTAAAACACTGCGAATGGAAGTTGTTTGTTTTTATTATGGGTCAATTACATTTCAATTGGCTTTTCAAAATAAGAGCTGGCTTGGACTGAATAGCTTTACATTCTCTATTTTTCATTCACTTTTTTGTCATAATGTCATAATGAACTTTTTTACAAACTGTTCATATTCACTGTAAATATGGAAATGCTGTTTTACGACCGAGACTCTAAAAAGCGATAACATCCTTCAGTGGTAGCTGTTTTTTATACTTCAAAAACAACATCTTTTTTTTTTTAGATTTTTCAAAACAAATTTTGTCTGGCTGGTGTAGTTTGGCATGGTCAGGGTCGACTCACATAATTGACACCACATCAGCTTTGGTCCTAATGAAGCTGAAATCACAGTCATCTTTTCTAAATGATGTCACATCTTTCTGAGCGCCCATCAACAGCAAACAAAATCCAAAACAGTCATTGAATCGTGTTTTAATATTGTATTGCATCGTAATATTTAGTATTAGCAGCAATATGAGCCATATCTAGCTATCTATAGCACAATCCATTATCTTTGTCTTCATTAGGAATCCAACTTAAACATGTGACTGGATAAGACAACCATGAATATTAGTTTAGTGACTAATAAGTTGGGCGATTTTGTTTTAACGTGTTAGCACCATTTAATTGTTGTATTTAGTCAAATATTTAAATTAATGAACAAACAACAGCACCTAAAATCAGTATTATGTACTATATATATGTATATTGGCCAACAGCTGACTTGTTCTCTCATTGCTGATTTTGGCAATGACCACCAAAAAGCTGTTATACGTCGATCACTGACTATAAGTGGGTAATATTTGATATAAAGTAGGGCTGCATGATTTTGGCCAAAGATAAAAAAAATTTTTTTCCTCTGAAAACATGATTTTCGATTTTGATTTCACCTTCACCAAACTTCACTTTACAATTAAAAAGTTTTTCTATCATCTCTCAAAATGAATCCACTGAAAACGATGTAGTGCATATGCCAAGCCAGTAAGTGGCGCTGTCTGGAAAACTTTAGAGCTGATGTTAGACTGAAGTTTGAAATTTTGCCATTCAATGGTGTAAAAACTCTATCCTTGGCTATGAGGCAAAATTTTGTGGAAAGTTTGATTCAATCTCTAGTTTTAGGTTAATTCCAAGCTATAATTACAAAAAAATCAAGATTGTAATATTCATATTTTCGAGGGAAATGTTAAATATAGATGAGCAAAATTAGCATTTTTCTCATTTATAGGAAAACGTTAATGAACTGGATTATATTTTAATGAAGTGTAGAAGCTGCGGCTGTTGTATAACATGTAAAGCCCGCTGATAAATGAACAGGACTCATGTGTAGGGAGTTGTCAAACAACTTTCCATATCCCCTCAACCAGTCCCAGGAGTGCAGCTGTCTTTGTTGGATGTCTATCACCATCTCCGCGGTGCAGCAGCTACTCATTTATTCATACCTTATCAATAACTGAAGCCTCAGGGGGGGCCTGACTCACAAACACACCACCGTCAGCAGCAGCGCTACGTCACCGCACATTTACATAAACGGAGGAATAAATTGACACGCTGATTGGCAGGTATGTTAAATGACCGTGCCAGCATTACAGCTAGGGGAATTGTGCCACAAATGCACTCACACACAAATGTACAGTATATAGTAGCACTGCCTACATTATTATCACCTAGCAATCATATATTTATAAGCTCCCAATGGTGCTGAAGCCGCGTAAAGCACAGAAACATGGAGTGAGACTCTCTTTTGTGCATGCAGAACCAATCACATACTCGCACATGCTCACACAAGAGGAGTTATTCCTTAATGAGCAGAAACATTAAACAGCATCATGGGAGAACCAATAAATACAGAGCCAATCACTCTTAAAGAGGAGAGAAGGAAGCGAGCTAATCTTCTGAGCACTGCTGTTGCTGACAGCTTAGAGACAGAGAAAAGAGAGGAGAGAGAGAGAGAGAGAGCAGGAGCACCATATCAGCACCATCATTTTCTGTTTCCTTCTGGTTTTCATTCAGATCGCAAATAAATAAATCGCCAACAGTTTTCCACCAAACCAAACTGGCCATAAACTAATCAGGCTCTTAATCGGCACAATGATAAATAAGATAACTCTACCTACTGCTGTGTTTTTAAATTGCCTATTCATCTACAGGGCAGGCTTTGGGAACAAGATTTAGTGTGGAGCCTGTGTAATTGAAGCAGTGTTTCCAGTGCTGCAGTCGTTCATGTTAATAGGGTTTCCCCGTCAGATCTGGACATCTGTGTTGGATACGTAAACCTGATCACATCTGTCATCACAAAAGAGCACATATAACATTTTACAGTGGCTGCCTGTTTATCCTCTTGTGCATCATTTGATACATGATGCTCCTGCTCTCCAATGAAAACAAAGAGAAACCAAGCTGTGAATAGGTGTCTACAGGACGAATGACTCAGGTGCATTTGCGCAAAATTGCTTTTGGGATTCATTGAACTGAAGATCTGCTCTTAGACCGAGTGTATGCATTAACAGGCTGTGTGTTAGAATAATGCCTTTTGTCTTTCAGACATAGCTGTCTTTTGAAGTAAATGTTCCCCTCAGCTTTATTCAGGCATGACGATGGAAAGCACTGAATGTGTCACACCAGGGGCAAGATGCATAAAAAACTCAGCGCAGGTTTGTGATCAGATCTGTGATTATGCACAACAACAAACACGCATATACTGTTCTATAAAGCTGAACGTGTTAGGGATGAAATAAACAGATCATTAACAAATGAAGAGTGATTCAAATGTCAGAAGTATGACTCACATTTGCTTTTCTCACATTAAGCTTACAAATGCCTTTTAGGGTTGGCATTTCGCAAATCTGAAACAGTTGTTAAAATTAGCGATCAAACCTAAACAAACATTGCTTTATGATAATCTCAGGATACTCCTTCAGTTACGACCGCTTCTTTGGAGTACAAGTACAAAATGTTCACCTTACATCCTTCTGTCGTAAACAAGACCTGATCAAGAGTTGCAAATTATGCATGGATGTTTTTTTACATGCACACATTCATCGTACATCCAGCTCCTGATGTGTGAATAAATAGAGATTCCTGTGTGTTCTCTGCTTGATCGAGATGCATTTGTTTAGCTTCATTCATAAGTCATCTTGCTTCCTGGCGATCATTTCTTTCCATGTCTAAATCCACAGATTGCGTGCTCGGCTATCCTCAGGATTCCCCTCATCAAAGAGGATATCTGTCAGTCAATACTGAACATATTTGTTGTTTTCAGTTTCAAATCTGTGCAACCACGATGTCCTGGTTCGAAGTACAATCATGCCTCAAACCATTTTCTGGCTTGATAATCTTGAGAAAATGTTACATTTTTAAATGAAAGGGATTCAGACCCAAAATTAACTCAAATACAAATCTCATCAATATCATTACCATACGTATGTAATGATAATGTCACACCCTGTTCAACCACATGAATTGCTATGTGGTTAAGTTAGTACAAGTGTGAAAAAAATCAGTTCAAACTTTAAAAATAATGAAAGAAGTAACAGCAATGACCAATGATGGGAAAAACACTGTTAAAATAATCTTTTTCATTGACAGGTAATCTCACTAATTACTATTTCCATCGTTACAACGCCGTTACCGTTAGCAACGACTGAATGAGGCGCATTACAAACTACCATTGTCCTCCTGTTTGGCTCATCTCAGCCACAGAAGCTGCAGATTACTGATTTTTTTCCTTTGGTTGGGGAGGGGCGAGACAACTGCATAAGTCATGATGATTGGTTAAGGTCGAGTAAGATTTCATGCCAGCCAATCAGAGGCAGTGTTCAGTTTGTACACAAACCACATATGAGGGAAACTGCAGCAATGGTGAGTTCAAGGGGAAAGTTTGCATTTTAAAGGGGAAGCGACACTAATTTAATCTCAACAATGGTGTTTTGGTCCACCAGTTTTGTAGAAGCATGTGCCGTTAAGAGACGCTTTAATAGATTAGAGTTGCTTACAACGGACGTGGACAAACACATCGCTCCGGGACATAGTGTACATCGTATTGAAACATACTCAACACTGGCAGTGACACAACAGGAGTACCATAAGTGATCAGTTTAGCGTAAGGCCAAGCTGCCCTTTTATGGCAACCTAGATGTGGGAAAGCTGCAGATTACTGATTTCCTTTGGTGAGAGGTGGGGCAAGACAACTGCATAAGTGATGATGATTTGACCACGACTGCCGACACAAGCAAGTAAATACCAGAGACTCTGGTGGAATAACAGATGCTCAAAACTGAGGTAGACCACCCGGACAAGAGCTAAAAAGGCGGGTCAACATCAGTGAACACTTCGGGATCTTACGGACCCTGTAACCTTTCTGCTGGACAGGTAAACCGCTTTAACAAAGTAAGCCAAGTGTCTGTAACAGAAGAGTTTCTTGTCAAACGGGACCTGCTGCGAGTTGTAGCGCCACTAAACTGTTGACCTCGGGTCCTGGACTATGTCACTTTATCCTAGTTTTAAAAGTCCTGCAAACATTGTGTTTGCTGGTAGTCTGTTGGCATCTACAGTAGCACCAATGCTTTTTACTTTCACGTTGACTGGGCCCCATTTGTTATTATCTGAAGTATTTATCCGCATTATATCTGAATTTAATTGAAACGAAACGAGTGAGCAGGAGCGTCTGTTTGTGGGCGGGGCTTGCTGGAGCAGAGAGGGAGGCGAGAGGAGGAGCTGAGGGGAAAACTGGTTGGGAGGAGTAGAGTTTACATTCAAGATTTCTCCCAAAAACTGGCACTTCCTCAGATCCTGCTGACCCCACCTTTAAGCTCTATATGAAACATTATATTGAATATTCAAATAAAGGCTCATACAGCGTGTGCCAATGAAAAGCAAACATAACAAGGAAGTCAGGGTTGGCCTACTTGTCACACTGGTGGTTGAGCTGATTAAACCAATTATCATCTATTTGTGTATTAGAGATTATGCTTCACTAGTACATTTATTGTGGATAACTTCTTGCTCTTCCTGTCTGACTTTTGGTTGAGACCGACGTGAAATTTACTCACATGAGAACTCCAGACGACAGCATTTTTATCAGTCATTTAAACAGCTCCTGTCAAGCCTTCAGCTGCCTGTTTCAACAGCCTGACATCTGTCTGCATCACATCACAGTTACCCAATGTTTACAGCACCATTTACAAGCCCAGCGCTCAAAATAATCACTGTATCCAGCAACATAATGTCGCAACGAGACAAATGGAACCAGGGGTGCCGGGACACATTTTACCCCCGTGTACACAGCCAACATTACAAGCAGGGATACCACAATAAACATTAACCTCTGTCAAGCTGGGCCATGCAACACATCATTCCTGAATTGACGCTGAACATCGACATATAGCTTTCTATTAAGGCTGCACTCATTACAAGAAAGACCAACCAAGCAATTCAAAGGCAGAGAAGACAGACCTTTGTACGCTTACATTCAAATAGCTCTTGACACGTGTTCAATGGTTTGAAATAACAGCATAAATCCTTGACTTTGATGACAGTCAAAAGATGAAGATGGCACTGAATGATCGTGGTTGTCTGCTATGTCGCTTTTATGATTCATTTACAGCTGTATTGACTTTGTAACCTCTTTGAAGACTGGGCTCATTCAGATGATGCATATTCATCACAGCAATGACCTACCTAGTATATTTGGATGCTTTGGTGCACTGTACATCCATAAAAAGCATGCACATGTGTTTATTCCACTGTCAGTGTGTGTGTGTGTGTATGTGTGCATGCATGTAATCCTACAAAGCGGAACCCACGACGATAGCATGAGGGACACACACATGCCCTACATAGTCGTTTGAATCTAATCTAGGCCATCCTCATTTCCCCTGGACACGTGACAAGCATCGCAGGTAGCTAGCTATGGCCCACACACACACACACACCATGCATTTATGCATATGAAGGCACCAAAACACAGCAAAGAAAAGAGTGGAAAAATCTGCCGCAGCACTGTAGAGTCTGGTGCATGATAATGTTTTTTGTAAAAAGCTCTTTAAGTAGTGGGCCAGGGGAGACACTGACATCCATGAGAAGAGGAGAAAGAGACAGAAAGAGAGAGAGAGAAAAGAAGAGGGGAAGAGTGGAGGCTGAGGTAACTCAAGGACATTCTGCCTGCTGCTGCTGTGCTTTGCTGCTACCGAGCATGCTGCAGACTAGCAAGAGCTTTCCTTTTGGGCGCTATTATGTAAGACATTAGTGTGACAGACAGATAGATACTCACCAGATACACACACACGCATACAAAGACTCACGTACACATGCCGAGACACATGCACACCGCATACACGGGGGCAAATCTGCGCACACAAACACACACTGATGAACGCTTTGGTCACACGCAGCCAGGCACGAACGCACTCGTACACACTTGTAAAAACACATTCTGAGCACGTAAATCTGAATTCACACAGAGCCTCGTGCCTGAAATTTCTACTGCAGCCAGCCGCGACCGATTAAAGCTCCTGTTCACCTCATTGGTGCAGAGACAGAGAGGAGAGAACAGAGGAGGAAAGCTTGGGCGACTGTTAATCAGTCTTTTGAGCGTTTCATTTGCTTTTAAAGGAATAGTTTGACATTTTGGAAGCACCTTTATTGGCTTTCTTGTCGAGAATTTGATGGCGGACTTTGATATCATTCTGTCAGGACTGTGAGGTTGCCAGGCAACGAGCGGAGCACCAGGAAGTCACTCCGCCGTTCACAAAGTATTTGTTGCAGACTTAAGATGTCTTTCTCCTGACTGTTTGAACACAGATTAAACCGATCTTTGTGAACACTCACATGCTGTTATCAAGATAGCTTGTCGGAGAAGATAATGATTTTGGCGTCAATACCGTTCTCATTCCCTGTTGTTCTAAATTTGTAGTTCAGGAGGTAGGCATGAGCATATCATCTTATAAAGACGTGGCGTGAAACATCTCATTTTCCTCATTTCTTTATTTTTGTACAGAAATTTGCAAATAGATGCCTGTAGAGACCGGCCATAAAGATTGCCACTCAAATCTATTTTTAGGTGTCTCAGGTTGTAGTTGCTACGTAAACGATAACCTCACAGAAGACGTCTTTTTGAGCGAGTCGGTTGTGAGAATTGTGATTAAATTATGTGTGATTTAGGAAGCCTTTTTAGGTGTTAGCCATACGTCCTTCTCTCTGCTGCTTAAAGGGATATTACAGCGTAAAATTAAGTTAGGGTCAAATTCACTGTAACACCAAGTTAGAAACCCCCTTCAAGAGATGAATGTTGCCGACTGTTTGCTTCTCTAGTTATATCAACTTTTGTAATGACCGCACAATAACTGATCATTTCCATGAAGTAATAATCAGAAATGTTCTTCCTTGAGCTGCGAAACTCCTCTGCACTCGGTGGACGACTTGTCAGGGCTCCTCCACAAACAAGCGGCTGCTGGAGGAGAGTGGGTGGGTTGTGTTTAGTCTCTTTGCTAAAGAAATTAGGCAAAGCTAAAAAGATGTTTGATGGCTAGTACTATGGCTGGGACCCTATATGTGCTGTTGATGAAGTTAGGTGCTGTTCTGACCATTATTTGTGGCTATAGAGTGGCTTTTTGGTTGAGGTTTGTGCGTGGAGACGTAGACCACAGTGTATTGCTATCATGTGGTGGCTACTAAAGTTGGTGTAACTAGAGAAACAAGCAGTCAGCAACATTCATCTCTCGAGGATGGGTCTAAATTTACGCCGGAATATCCCCTTAAGGGTGTTATACTATGCTAGTCTAGCACTTTTTCTTTTTGTTGGTTTTGGCGCCCCCTGTGGACAAAGATGTACCTTGTATCTCTTTGCTGACTGTGTCCTGTAGAGTATTTCCTAAAAGTCTCAACTTGCTTTATGTTTACTATCTTCCTTTCTGCAACTCGCATCCTTAACTTCACCTCACTTAGGCATGAACTCATCCATGAAGATATCTCTCTATTCAGTCTGAAGTAGCAAGTCACAAGTCCTTTAAAATTCCTTCAAATGTAACACTGTTATTGGGTTACAGGCGCTGATTTGTACTCCGTTTCATCACCTCCTAAAATATCTACAAGAGCTTTAAGAAAAACAGACAAACCCGTTTCCAAAAGTGTTAAACTGTTTCTTTGAACGAATTTATGACTTTTGTCAGTGTCAGTGAACCTTTCCCATCCTTTAATTCTGCTGTTAATCAACCGCCTGCCATCAAACTCAGTCAAACATAATGAGGCTCTATCCCCCACCACTGAAGTAGTCTGCCGCACACTCAGGTCTTGTGTAGTCAGTTAAGTTGAGTTATTTACTCTGTCATAAAAACTGACAGCAAAAACATTTCCCTATCTTTGTGTGGAGAAATGAAGCTGCACTCCAGGGTCATTGACAGCAGTGTGTTTAAAAGCCTCACAGTGTCTCACGGTTTCTTCTAATAAGTCTAATGTGTCAGATGTTTTTATTTTTCATCTCAAAGTCAAAGCAGATGGTTTTTCACACGTTTGCAGTCAGTCAAAAATCCAAACACAATCACAGTTTGTAATTATAGACGTTTTGCATAACTCCTGGATGTGTTTTCCAGGTTTTATAAGCAGCTTGTTTTGAGAAGTTTGCAGGACTTGATCTAAACATGACCTCAGGCTCTGCTGTCCAATCAGAACAATACTCTTTAATGGACACACCCACCTAGATGCTCTTTCAAATTTACCCTCATTTGGAAAGTTCCTTTTCCTTCCTACACTTTGTTGAGTCAGTGTATCTCTAAAACTTCCTTGTACGTATTTCCTTATAAAAATAGCTGTTAATGCTCGCCACTTCACTGGTGTCTATTTTGTAAACGAAGGCCAATAGAGGCTGAATTTGCATCTCAATCATGACTGAAACTGACCTTTAAACACAAGCTGTAAGTCACATGATGACAGCAGCTAATGTTTCAATAGCTAATGTATAATGGGAAGCTTATGTGAGCGCTAACGGCTAGCCTCAGACATCTTTGATAAAGGCCTAACTTTCGGGTTGTTCTGTGCACGCAGTGTCTAAATTGATGTTAGTAGAAAAGTAGCCGAAATTAAGATTGAAAAGTGCTGAAATTCGTTTCTTAAAGATCCCAGCGGAAGGTGAAATTGGAGTATAGTAGGTCTCCTTTAACACCATTTATGGTACTTAAATGTAAGATTAATTAGGATAAGCTTTGCAAATATGTGCATCAAAGTTTCTCAAACTATAAAACAGTCTTTAAGATCATATAACTCAACAGTTTTAGAAATAACGGCACTAAAGTACACATTTTTTTGGAAAAATAGCTTCACCTCTGAGCCTGTGTTTTGCAATAGTTCCATTACGAGGGACATTTTCTGTCTTGTTAGGTCTCTAAGTAGCCCAGTTAGTTCAGATCTTTGCTCAACAGCACTATAGCTTTGAGTGAAAAGCCTGGTGGCCTGTCATTAAATCTGCCAAAAGGATTTTTCCAAGAACAGATTTGGAACCGTCTGTTTTCTGGGCTCATTTCTCTAAAGCACAGATGTTTTGAAGGGAGGAGAGCAGACAACTCACCAAACACAGTCCTGGCAGGGACGGACTCTCTGTTGAGCCAGAAAGACACTTGGGAGAGGATAACTGTCATGATGCAGGGGAGATATGTCTGGATCACAAAGTAACCAATTTTCCGCTTCAGGTGGAAGTGGGTTGTCATCACAACGTACTCTCCTGCAAACAACAGACACAAAGTTATGAGAACAAGTCCACTGATTAACTTTACACAAGATCTATCATGCCTTTCCTCATAGTCTCGAGTGTTTATCCTTAAAGGCTTTGTTATGTTTGGGCCTTCAAATTTATTGGAGTTGAGATTTATTGGCGCGGTTCGGGCTGTAATTTGTCAGCTAACTCCGCACCAGGCATGCTCCATTTTTATCAGAGCGTTCAGTCGAAAACAGGAAAGACACAAAAACAGCACCGGCATTTAATCTGGTTGGAAAAAAACATGTTGATTTTCAAGTATTTCCAGAGACGTCGACAAACGAATCAAATAATAAAACCCATTTATGTTCCAACGTTGCTTATTCAATAAAGCTTGGTAGATACAGTCACTGGGGGGCTTGTTGCGAGCAAAGTTAAGCGTTGCTTGAGGGATAAAGCTGTCGAAAGCATTACTTTCAGTCTGCAGCCAACGTCACTGCAAACAGGTCACCCATTTTCACTGTCACTAATTTGTGCCAGTATCAATGGAGGAAGAGGAGGAGGTGGGAAAAGGATGTAGTGGCCGGTAGGGAAATTATGAAATCTGGGACATGGCCTGTCATACATGGTGTGAAAAAAATTTGCTGTTTCAGACTGTTAGTTTACTCAGATGATGGTTCAGACTGGGTGTGTTGTCAAGGCTTGGTCTTTATTGACCGGGTAATGAAGCCTTAACACTCAGAATGTCATTTGAACGTATTCAAAAGGTCCAGTTAGGAGTTTTAGCTGGTTTAAAGGAAAATAAGATTGATACCGATCCATCTTTAGGACCTAGAAAAGGCAAATGAAGCCAAAAAGAAAGAGCTGGATTATTTCCTCATGTTATTTTTAACATGCCTTAGGGTTGGTGTTGAATGAGATTTACAATACCGTCCAAAACGGTCTTTTTTTTTTTGATTCCTTGGCTTTTGGCTCAGAATGAGAGTTGTGTGATCTGTCTTTTGTCTTTTTACGGTCCTTTTATCACTTTTATTTCTTTTATTTATTCCATCTTAATGTTTTTTACCTGCTTTTATTTATCCCATCTTGATGATTTCAGCATTGTCTGTTCTTTTAGTTTTATTGTGCAGCACTTTTGTAGACTTGAATGTTTTTTAAAATGTGTTATAAATAAAGCGTATTGGATTAGATAGACAGCGATTGGCATGTTTGACTGGTAAAAGATGCAAAGATGAACTTCCTAACACCAGAACCACATTGTCCACAGGGGGCACCGATGTGGTCCAAAAAGAAATTTTCTCACAGAATTTTTAGGTCCCATTTATACGTACTCGGTTACTCTAAAAAACTGAGACATTAACCATCGTTTGCACCCTTCGCTGAGACTCAAGCGGAGAATTCACCCCTGAAAACGATGCTTTTTAAAAACACCGGCCAGAGTGGAGATTTTCAAAAACTCAGTTTGCATGTAAACGAAGAAAAACAGAGATTTGGGTCGATGACAGCAGATTGTAGGAAGGAAAGAAGGAAGTGACGTTGTTGTTGTTGCTGCTATGTGGGATTCTGATTGGCTAACGTGGGCTTGAGCTTCTTGCTACACTGCCACCTACAGGTTTGGCATGCTCTTGACGGGTTATATACATGGGTTAGTGTAAAAGAAAACTTCTCTGAAAATGTACTGGTGTGCAAGCAGTTTTTTTTTGTAAACGGAGAGGGTCAAATATCCAGTTATGAACCGTAGTCTTAAAATGCAGAATTTCTCTTTTTATTTAAACTGATGTGAGCTTTCATTTTGTTGGTGCCTCTTTGGTCCAAGTATTCCCTCTTTCCTTATCTTTTTCCCTTTTTCCTGGCTATTTCAGGGTGACATATTACAATGATGTTTTTTTATAAAAGAACATATGATAATCAAACCCACCTGTGCTGGACTGCACCACACCAGAGTCCACACTCTGCCCCATCAGATCGTACTGGTTTAATCTGGACCCGTCCTCTGCCACCACCACGGACTGGGCAGCCCCTCTGGTCCACACATACACCACCTCCGCTCGAGTGTAGGCATCTGACAAGGACGAACAGAGTGAAACGTTATGAATTATTTTGCTGCTGGTTGTCTGGTCGTCACGTGGGCCTTTTTCAGGCGGTATTTTTGGAGCTGCCAGGGATGCCCGGAGGAAGGGAAAAGAAAAACAAATCTGAAACGAGGTCTTCCACTTAAATCCTTACCTCGTCTCAACTTGTCCTCCCGCATCTTCTCTGGCTGCTCTCATCTCAAACCTGCCTGTCTTGTCTCATTTGCTATTTAAGCATATTATCCCTTTCTTTTCACCTCGTTGGAGTGTTTTATCTCATCCCTTTTTTATCATCTATGCTCATCCTGCGACATATTTTGTTGGCCTCTTCGCTAACAACTCACCACGTGATGCGATGCGATGCAATGCTGTGTCACTTCATGTTATCTCTGGACTTAACAGAAAACAAACAAACAACGTCCCAACAGGACAACGTGACCTCAAAAGAGTCAAGTCAGTCTTCCCTTCCCTCCGGCCACCCGACCTGTCAAAGCCGCAGTGTGGCTCGGCCACTGCAGAGGAAAAGGATGGCTCCTCTGCAGACTGCAGCATAAGGAAGAGAGCTCATCACTGAAATATTTAGGGAGTGAGTTCAATTTGAACGGGGGGTTGATGCTCGGTCCTCTCACTCACGCTGTGCAGCTGTCTAAAGGATGGCAGAGAGGCAGTTTGATGCTTTCTATCTGTTTCACTTTTGCTGTTTTTTTTTCATCTTCCTGTCCTCTCTCTGCCTCTTGTTCTCCTCCCCCCTTTCCTCACCATCTTTCTATCTCTTGATGATCAGGGTAGGACGGGGTAGCTGTCAGCGGTGAGCAGCTGGTGTGATGTTCTGGAAGTATTTCAGACACCGCTGCTGCTGTGGGTAAACATAGGTCTGTGTGCAGGGGTCTTCCAGGGTCTTGCAGGGTTGAATCAGTTGGTCCGGAGGGGCCTTGGCGGGAACAAATCCTCTGGGAGGACAGCTGTTACTGCACTGTCATCCCCTATCAGGGACTCGTGTTGGGGTCACGCCTCCAGTTGGATGATGACAGTGTTTCCCAGAGATGTATGTTTGTTTTTAACACTCAGTACGTTTACATGACACTGGAGAAAACCGAATAATTGTCCTATTCTGATTAAGACCGGACAACTAAAGTGCATGTAAACACCTTAGTCTGGCTACAATCGGAATTTAAGAACTCCGATTAAGATGATATGATTGGAATTTGATTTTCTCTACCATGTAACCAGCGAAATCGGGGTATGATCGGACAATGCATGTGCGCCAAGCCCCCGTGACCCCGGAACAAAACACCAGAGAAGAGGATTAGCGTGCATCTCTTCTGCAGAAAAAGTAGCGTGCACATCGTGTACGACAAAAACAACGCTGTACGATGCTCCATCTTCTTGCTCGAAACTGCCCAGCAGCAGTTGTAGCTAATCCTGACATCTGGCACAGACCTGCTGTTGTTGTTGACGGTTGTATGAGGTCGAAAACAGCGCCGCTACAAAAAGACCCATATTGCCCCCTAGTTTTAGGGAGGAGGACACGTTCACATCAATAATTCGATTTTCTCAGCTGCATGTAAACGCAGACAAGGAGAGAAATACGGTTTGATGAAAGAAAAAACGAATTATGATCTCAGTCTGATTAAGTTGTGCATGTAAACGCACTGAGTGTTTGGAGCATGTTTGTAAGACTGTGTATTAGCGTTGTGTTGTTCACGAACGATTCGTTCAAAAGAACCAAATCTTTTAAGTGAACGTACTTAACCGAATCACTTCCTCGAGTGATTCGTTTGTTTCTCACTTCAGTTGAGCTGAAGAGAGAAACAGCATTGCCAGGCCAGCAGCCGGCAAACGAGGGACCACATGCACCGACACCTGAATCACTTGGTGAACGACTCACGCATTGAACTACACTCTCAAAACAACAACTTGCATACAACAGGACACAGCGTGTAACAAGAAGTGCACTAACCCTGCAGCATCCTATCATTGCAGCGGTTTGCGAGGGAACGGTGAATATTCAGTGTGAATTCTTCTGAACCTTCAGTGAACGAATCACTCACTGAGCCCAATTTACAGAGCAGACCTGATAAATAGCATACCATAGGACAGTACACTTAAAACATCATGACTTATAAACAAGTTCATTTTTACAAACACAGCCAAACACTCTCGTCTCCCTGTCCTAGAAGCTCTGAATTGAACTGAATCCTGAACTTTCAGCTGTGTATCAGTTCAGGAGGTCAGAGTCGCAGGCTTCTTCCGCTCAATGATTTGGTGAACGAATCTTTTTAGTGAACTGATTTTAGTGATTCAGTACATCTAAAAGAACTGCAGTGCCCATCACTACTGTGTATGTATAGAGGCAACTTACAGCTGCCGAACTTGAGTGGACAGGCATGGGCGTCCATAGGGAAGTCCTCCAGGTGCATGGGACATTCGGCTCGTACTGTAAGCCTGGAGAGAGAGAGGAAAAATAGCACAGAAATTCAGAGCATGAACAGACAGAGGAACAGTGCAGGTGGAGGAAAGATGAAGAGGATTTAAGGCTCAGGGACAATATTTCAGCAGCAGGAACATGTGCTGTTGTATTTTTCTGCAGTCCTCTTCACACTAAACACTCTCAAACTGCAGCTTCTTTCTTCCAAAAACCAGTAGAAAACGCTCCAGTAGGCTGAGCTGTGGGTTTCTATTTCCTGACAGCTTTGTGAAAAACAGCATGTCAGGCCACCCGTGACACACTAATCTCCCATCCATCCCTCATCTCGCTCATCTGTGACAGCAATACAAGACTCCGCCTCCAAACCCCCCTCCCCCTGCTAGTAAACATGCTAAAACAAATGTTTTATGATCCTCGCAGCAGACAGCTCACATTAGAATCACTCTGTTGGTGTGCATCAAGGTTCGTGCCATCTTTTTTTTTCCCGGTTCTTATTTACTTGCCTTCTGCTGAAGGCTACCGAGGTGCCACGAGTGGTTTTGAAGCTCAGCTCAGCTGGTCGCACACCTTATCTTCCTGCTGTAACTGTCAGGAAGCATCCCCACAGTGATAAATCAGGATGGGATAGAACTGCTTTATTTTTAACTGGTGAACACTCAAATGGAAAAGTGACAAAATGTAATAAAACTTTATGTGATTCACATATCATAAATGGATGACGATGGTCTATAAACAAGGATAGATAAAACAGAAATTTACTTTGATGGTGAATCTTTTTTTATGTTAAAAAAGAACCATAAATGTCACAATAAAAGGCGGGTTAGCAGGTCTGTTAACGCTAATATTAGCTAATGTATAGAGGCTGTTGTGAAAATGTTCGTTCTCATCGAGTTTTGATTTACTAAAAGATTGTGTCTCCAAAACCAAACCTCATTTTAACTCGCATATTATATTAACCCTCCTCCTGTGTTAGGGTCTGCACCGACCTGTTTTTGATTTTAAATGCTTTAAAGAACCACATAAATGAGACTTTTTTGCATCAAGACCTTTTGACATTGTCAGGAACCTCTATTTCAACAAAATAAAAAATAAAAAAATTGAACTGACTAAATTTTAGAATGCTCTTATTAAAATTATGGCACTTGTCATGTTAGGGTCGCTGTTGTTGAAATCATAAGTGCACTGTCAGGCACCACACTGACAGTCAGATCCTCTTCCAATCATGAGAGATTTAGGAAATTGTCATTTTTCCATGTTTTTCCCTGCACAAAAAACAACAACAGACATGTCCAGACATGTGAGACCAATTCAGTATGGATGTCTGTGTGAGGGCTATACTAACAAAGAAAGGCCCAGAGACCCACAACAAAAAATATTATAAGCAATATTTTCATGGACAATGAAGCCGAACAAGGTAACCTAGAGATGAGAACCAAATTGGATGATAGAGAATTGTTTTTAGTGTCATTTACAGCTGATTTAAGACACGGGTCAAAACCGACCCTTAACATGGTGGGTGCGTAGTAAAAGCTAACACAGGAGGAAGGTTAAGATAATAACCCCAACTCAACAGTAAATCTTACTTAGACATATTTTCAAGTAGCTAACATATGATATAGACAAAGATCTCCATTATTTTCAGGGAACTGTTGTAATTATATCAATAAAACTCATTATTAAAATACAAAATAAAAACAGTTGATTATCTCCATTGAGTAGCTCAAAAACAACAACAAGATACAACTCAAATTATATGAAGTACCAAGAGTTTTATGTGTCGCTTAAATCTCACTTTAACTTAAGATCTCCATTAAGTATTCACTTCACACTTTACTCGATAACATCCCCAGCAATTCAAAGCTGATCTCACTGACAAATCTGAAACCAACAGTAGTTCTTTTTAGTTTTTCATTCTTTAGTTTTTGATGCCTGGTGTTGCCAAAGATTTCCATCATTATTATTATTCTTTTTAAACTTATGATACCACATTAATTAGGGCGACCATATTCTGAATCCCCAAAAGAGGACACTACTATGCCGGGTGGAGTTGCAGAGTTGCATGTTGTAAATTTTGAGGGTTTTTCGGGTCAGGTCGAGTGTTTTTTACAAGCTTCTAACTCAGTAAGTCCACGCTACACAAACTCAAAACTTCCATACAAAATCCTGAACATTTGATTTTACAAACTCCCCCGGACAAAAAAGAGGACGTATGGTCACCCTACATCAATAAAAGATAGCATTATCATTGATTTGTTATTAACAATTAGTTGGTCCAGTGAGTCAAAAAAAGATCAATTCAGTCAATTTTGGTTATCCTAATTGGGCATTGTCATTCACTAAATACTGCTGGGACCACTGCAACAAAGACTAGTCTCTACCCTCAAGACACTAACAAGCATTTCATATCCAGAATATTCTTGAAGCAACATCATTAAAACACAACACCGCGATGAATGAACCAAGGAAAAATCTGTGAAAAAAAATAACTAAAAGACAAAAAAATCGGTCTATTTCCAGATATTTTTATGGATGCATGAAATACAAAATAAAATCCACCAAAAAATGATTGTAAATCTGCCTAACTAAAGACGAGTGAAGCCACACAGCTCCAACATTTTCCAAAAGCCACCAAAACCGCACCGATAAAACAGGGAGTCTCGTGTACATCATGCTGATTCTGAAAGTCCTTTTAATGCAATAAATGAGCTTCAATTCTGCTGAAAATTTTATCCTGAAAATGCACTTTTTACTTCAATCTGACTAATTGGCAACCACATAGCTGTTCAAGAGAATTACTGGGAAACGATTAGTGTGACGTCATGGTCAAACAGTGTGTAAAATCACTGGAAACTAGTAAAAAATCCCCTTTTTTGTGGTGTTTTTATAGATTTTTCAAAACATGATGTTTGTCAGCCCTTTGTCATATCAGAAAATCCATATTCAGGATGCTCTTAAACCTTCTCTCTCCTGCGAAAATCAAATATCAAATCGCTGATCTTCAAATGGCACCATGTCATAGCTTCAACAGCAACTGTACAAAAAACAACAAAACTCTGCGTCCAAAAAAAGCAAAAGGTTCAGCCTAAAACGTGTCGGCCTACCTCATGGTGTAGAGCAGGGTGCCTTCCTCTGTGATCCGCAGCAGCTTATTGGGCATGGTCATGTTGTGGGCCACAGACTTCTTGCCGTTGTGAAAGAAGGTATCAGGGGTCCAGATCTTGCTGGCCATCAGGTTGTTGAGACGCAGCACGGCCATGGGTCCTTTGAACTTTAACCTTTCATCTTTCCAGCTCTGTCTGAAGAAGACATCAATGGTGTACTCCTGCAGGTAGCGAAAAATAGAGATCAAAACCTCAGACTGCGGGGCTGTTTTCTTCACTTTCTCGAAACATAGACACTGTGGAGGTAGATGTTGAGTCATACAGCCTTGTTTTCCTTCCACTTTCCTCACTTTTACCTCCATCTTTACATCGTCTGACTTTGACTCTCCCATGTAATGTCGGCCTAGTTTCCCAGCTTGGAACTGTCTCTCCCTACTTAATTTGATTTGATTATTTGCGAAAATATGGTCGTGTCAGTTTCATACTCTTAATGCAAATGGAGGATAATTTCCTCAGTATTGGTCATTTGGTCTTGCACAGCTTAGGTAAGTGCCAAAACGATTATTGTTAGCATTTATCTTTAGGGGAACTTCTTCCTTTTTTTTTTGGACTCCATAATGGGAATTACCCCGCACACAACGAAGAAGCGCTGGACACAAAATTAGGAGAACATTTCATTTTGGCGGCAGCTAATGACTGTAGCTCAGAGCAGAGTTTAATGGTTCCACATGACTGGATGTCAGAGTAAAGGGAGGCTGTAAAAATTACAGTTCAGCCTGTTTTCTTTTTTTTTTTTGTCTTCATCCTCTTCTCCCCACACACACACAGTCGCGTGGGATAATTAGTATGAACTAAAACAAAGCTTGAAGGTAGAAGAGGAGGAGAAAAGGAGGACAGAGACTAGGGATGGAGGAAATGGTCTTCAGCTCCTTCCTTCTGGCCCTCAACAAAGCCGCAAAATACTCCTGAGCCGCATGTCAGCGAGGGCAATTAACTGAGATTATGTCAGATACAGAGTACACAGACACTCGCACACTTCACGTGCATAAAACAGAAGTGTGTGTTTTCCTTCAAGTGGTGAAGGAGAGGCAGTGAGACATTTGGAGGAGATTAATTGGTTTCCAGATCAGATGCTTGTGTTTGAATAGCCCTGCGGCCTTGTAGCATATGGTCTCAAAATGAAAAAAAAAAAGAACTTTTAAAGGTGATGATTCATATTTGGATGTTTGCATTTAGTGGACTTCTGCTCCTCTCTGCCTCCTACGTCAGATATCCTCATTGCGCTGTGATATTTTTGGCAAAAATCTCTGAATAGAGCCCGCTTGACCTTTCAAATTAAAGCGGCGCCTATCAAAGTACAGTTTTCCGCTGCAATTTACTCGTGACAAATCAGCATCTATGCCTCGCTGTGTACAGTCAACCCCTCTCTGATACCTTTCTTTATGGCTTTTGCTTATCTTTTCACATTTTTCCAATCTTAAATCACCTACATATCCGAACATTTCCTCTCAGTAAAGATGGATTAGCAGTAGACGGGCTCTAAAACATGCATGCATCTACTAAAAGGCTATACAAACAGAATATGCAAAGCTATGATTACTCTCCTAAAACCAATAAACAGAATTGGTTTCGCAGCATTTTTCCACACACACACATATAAGTCTCATGCAGTCATATTTACGACTCTGCGGTGGCATTTATGTGGAGCTAGACGCTCATAACCGTGCGGTAGGAAATACACTTCAACATGTGACAGGTTTATTAACACATCAGGCTTTAATGGAATGAAACATCAAATTGATAATTATCCCACAGCGAAACTCCAGTGTGGCCAAAGAAGGAGAGAAAAGGGGGGAAGAAACTCAAGAGGAGGTTGGATGGAGGGAAACTGGTGACATTTAAAGAGGCAAAAAGAGTCTTACCATGTCGTGGTCCGAAACTGGCCCAATACTAGTCACGAAAATGTCAGTCTTGACTTCGGTTACACGCTCTGTTGAAGCAGGAAATTGCAAGAGTGAATGACTTTCAGTGGCATTCATTAGCCCCCCTAACTACCTGTTAATACAAACCCACCTGTCTGCGGCTTCAGATACGCAAACACACATCGGAGCGAAATAAAACCATCAAAATGCCCATTTTAGATGTCGATAACCATTTCTGTTTCACTGTCAGCTCCCTTACCTGGACGCTGGTTCAATCTCTTAATAAATTTGTGCATTGCTGTATGACTGAAAACGTGCCACTCTTGTTCTATAACACTGAGAGAAAAAAAATAGGTCCGCTGACGATTCAATCGGAGGGGGTGGCAGAGGTGATGTGTAGAGAGAGAGAGAGTTTGTTCTTGGTGATTCTGAAACTGGAATGTGACAGCGTGATTTATGAATGATACCCATCATAATCCATAATTTCTTCCCTCTGCAGGCTCCGTTTTTTTATTCCTCTGTCTGTTTGATGCCTGCCGCATCACGCTGTGCAATCCTCAGTGTCCTTCACACACCGATTCTCACATTATCTCTCCCTCGTCTCTCTTTTTTTCTCTCTGCTTCCTTCTTTTTTCTCTCTCTTTTTCGAGTATTTAATGCTTTCGGTTTGTCTCTTCTCTGTCTTTTTGCCATTTTGTTACTCTCCCTCGAACAGTGGACAATAGTGTGAAGAGGAGCCCATGAAATGAAATGACGTTAACTGTGTTCTTTTAGGAGTGCTGGCTTTGTGACAATTCAGCGTTTCACAAAAGCAGCAGGTGAAGAATGGGTGTCCAACTCTGTTTTTTAATTATTACTCACACAATCTGACACTAAAAGCAAATCTGCCTCAATAGGATTCACTCAGATAGATATTTTCAGGAGCGGTTGAGGTAAAAGACAGCTTGTTTTAGGCATCTTCTCTGGGATGATATTTCCATATTTGCAGGGAACAAAAGCAATAATTCAAACAGTCACCACAAAGAGACAAAGGACATGCAATGACTCGGGTTTACTGACCTCCCAGTCCTGGCCTGAGGCGATTGTCATAGCCATCCAGAAGGCTGTCTAAGATCTCGGTGAACACTGTAGTGTTATCTGTTATGCCGTTCTGCCCAGAGCTGGCAAAGAAGCAGAGAAGAAGAAGATATAAAGTCGTCACAGTCAGAGCCCAAAAAAACCATGATCCAAACTGCCAAAAGAGAGGAGAGAAACTCTTGGTATGAATCATAAATCAAAGACAAAACAAAACAAAAAAAACAGAGGACTAGTGCTCTGAAGTTAGCAAGATGGCCGTGTTGTGAACATGGGAAGGGTTGTGAATTCTGTCGTGAGGAAGAGGACGCGGAAACTTGGTGAAATCCTCCATAACAGCGGCGCATTATGCCATCTTTACCAACGTACTATTCACACTCTAGATCATATAGAGAGGTACATACAACAGGGTTCCTACACAGTTGGAATTTCCATACTTTTCCATACCATACCCTACTTTTTCAAATTATTTTTGGATATACCTACTTTTCAGTATTTTTGGACTCTGGTAGTAGTCTGGAAACATAGGTATTTATTTCTCATTTACCATACTTTTTAAGACCTGGAAATTGATCAAACTACTTCCATACTTTTCCATACTTGCGTAGGATTATTCTGATTCCTCCTCGGTATATTTGCAAATGATACCTGTACCATAGTTATCTTTGTGAGTGGGACGTAAAACCAGGCATGTGGAACAAACATAGGCATGCCTGAAAACACTGAAAACTGCTGATTTAGTAATGGGTTATCCATGCATTCATCGTCTCCAGGTTAGATAACAGAAATCCCGACTGGTCCAGATTAACGCAGCAGCTAGGCTTTTAACTTTGAACTGGTTTTAACAGACAGCGTCACATCACTCCTGTCCTTGCATCTCTCCACTGGCCTCCTGTCCGCTTTTGAATTGATTATAAGATTTTACTGATCACTTTTGGAGCCCTGGTCTACAGGTCTGGCTCCAACCTTAGATCCTCGGGGGCGGGGGCCTACTGGCTGTTCCAAAGTCGAGGCTTAAGATGAAAGGTGATCGAGTCTTTTCTGTCCTCGACTTTGGAACTGCCCTGTCCGAGGAGATCAGGTGGGCTGAATCAGTAACATCTTTTAAATCACATCTAAAATCTCACTTTTTTTAGACTTGCTTTTACATGATGCACGATTTATTTATCTATTTATTTATTTAATTGCCTGCATACCTCTTGTTGAACCTTATAAGTTATGTATATTATTATTAGTACGATTTTTAGTCCTGTTTTTAACATTTTCTCACGTTTTAATATACTCCCTTCTAGGGCTGTACGACATATTTTTTACATATCAGTCGATATCGATAAATATCTCGATATAAAAAAAAAAATGTAACAGTGCTTGTTGGTAGCATGTCTTTTGCAATACAATAAGCTACTGCATCTGTGAGGTCTTTGTGTCTTTTCAACGTTTTGTCGTAAGGCGTTGCGCTAAAAAAAGTGGACTGAAGGGTCGGCTGTTTCCTTACTCCGCTTGGGGTTTGTAACCTTTAGCACTGTGCGTGTTCTGCAGCATGGCACTGAGTGCACACTACTCTGCTTCATGTCCAACCTCAAAAAAACCCAAATACCTCCACACCACCGACGTGTTCGTGCCAGTGTTGTTTCTTTTTTTCTCACTGACAGTGCTGTCAGCTTTACGTGTATAATTGCTATAGTTGTGTGTAGCTGCAGTCTGCTACTGCACAGTTGTTTGCTACTGTCAGAATACCGACTATCGAAAAGCATATCAACCATGTTTCATATCGATATGGAGTGAAGTTAATTTTTGATGTATATAATTATTGTTTTATCGCCCAGCCCTACTCCCTCCCTTTTCATTATTACTCTTATTTTAACCTTCTCTTTGTATTTATTTCTCTTCCTCTTTTATCTGTCTCTATCCTCCTTCTTTCTTTTCACCTTCCTGATGTGACGCCATCAACCACCAAACGCCAATCTGGAACTGCCCACTTCTGTTAAAGCACTTTGGAAACATCTGTTTTTAAAGGTGCTATATAGATAAAAATAAAGTTATAAAAAATCTCCAAACTCAGCGACTGAGAGAATAGAGGAATCAGACTGCATTATGTACACCTTAATCTGGTCTTCCATAGACCATACAGGCCTTCCAACATGAAACAAAAACGCTTCGAGCGACGCCCAAAAACCGTCACGATGGGCGATTGTGAGAGCCGCGTTTGCAGCATCTCCAAGCATAAATATTTTAACACTCTCATAATCAGGCATACAGCCCCCTTAATTGTGCATCATATATGCAGGAACGCCACAGGAATGTTTGCTCGTGTGTGTTTGCACTACCTGATTTAATGCATGCACATATTCTCTGCTCCGGATGACTGCTTGTGTACTTATCCCTGCATATGTTTGCATGTGTGTTTACGCTGATAACAATCAGATGAAAGGCTCTGCTTTTGTGTGGCGCCAAGCAATTAAGTCCGCCCTCTTTTTTTTTTTTCCTGCACAGTAGTGTAAGGTTTGATTGCATGTTAAATAAAAAAAAGTGTTTGGAAACGGGGCTCTGCAAGGAGAAGGAGAGGTCATCAAGATTAGTTTAGAGGGGACCAAAGGAAGGGAGAGTGGCGTCTGTAAGGAGAGACAAAAAAAAGATGGAGATGGCAGAGATGGCGGAGGGAGAGATAAAAGGTAGAGGTTGGGATGAGGTGAGGATTCTGTTGAGTGAAAGTGGGAAGCCGTCTTCTCGAGAAGACGCGGCTCACAGGATTGAAGCGGATCCTGCAGCTTTGACTTTGAGCCGCTAAACAGTTTGCTATAGAAAATAGGGATGCGCCAACCACGTCACACATGGATTTGTATAAAAGGGTTAATATGAATCTCTCTCCGCCACCAATTTCACTTCATTCGCATGTAGCAGGAAAAAAAAAAACAAAAGTAACCAGAACAGAGTGGAAACCAAAGCCAGCTCTAAAACTGTACTAACTGTGATGAGCAATTTTACTCAGCGTCATTTTCAGAGGTAACGACTTTGAATCACTCAGATTCAAAACAATAATTAATCCGTCTTCTTCAGGTCTGAGAAGCCAATTAGGAATAAATAAGGAAAGCAAATCAGCGGAGGCAAAATTAAAACACAACCTCCTCCGCCTCCTCCTACTCCTCCTCCTCCTTCCTTCTTAATATTCCGTCTTTCTACATTTATTCACACATTTCCAATTTGCCAAATCACATCACGATGCCGAAACAGTTTTTTTGGTCTGGCCTGAGGGTTACAGTCTGCTTGTTTTAGTCTCCATAAACAGAGGAAACGAACTGCTCTATCCCTCGGTATTCACAAGTTCAAAAATAATCCAAACGCACTTAATATGTTGGAGGAAATTCATCCTTAGATACAAGACATTAAGAAGTAAAAATGAGATCAAGAGGCAGACTTTCTGACCCGTGAGTTCGGTTTACCTGAATTCAAACCCCGACCGGTGAAAATAACCCCACATTTTTAGGAGAAAACAGGTTTTTACACATGAGAGTAGATGCAAAGGAGGTGTTTGAAGGTTGTGTGTCAAAGAAAGGAGGAAATAATGGAGAAGAAGAAGAAGAATACACATGTTTATCAGCCAGGGGGCCACTTCCTCATAAAACATTGTACACCATCCCCATCTACAGGTCATCTGAACAGCAACAGTGCCGTTCACACTCACTCTGTGAACGTCTCTCTCTCTATTTCTCTCTCTTTCTTTCTCTCCCTTCCTTCACTTGGATATCTAATTATTTCTCTGTTAGGTCCTCCTGATTACCGTGTCTTGTTGAGATCCCTAAAGGTGTGTGTGTGTGAGTGAGAGAGTGCTCGTGTATTTCCCTTCAAAAGACAGGATAGGCGTTTGGTTGATAAGGTAAATCTTTGGATGATAATTACTTTGCAGTTTTGTGGTGACAGCTCCTCCTGTACTTTCTCACATTCTCTCCAACCTGCAGTAAATCACAGCCTCTCCTTTTTTTCTCACTATAAGTCGGCGCAAACCCGGTTCGCAGATGTATTGTACATTCAAATTAGGGCACGTCCCATCTGCGTTCTGCACGCTCTCAGGATGAACGTGTAGATGTTTGTGGTTGTCACTAAGAAAGGAGAAGCGTGGACCATCTCGAGATGTCAAGACGACCACCTATGACAGCTCTCCTGAATTATTCAGCCGTGCGTATGAGTGAGATCCTGTCAGTTTCTCCAAGATCCTCCACAAAAACCAAATGATATCCAAGCTCTGAGTTCTCCCTCCTACATTTCCCATGCCTGTGTGTTTATTTACTGCCAAAGTTACCCACATGAATCCAACCAGCGCATCCTAATCATGATGTTTTAAACTCTGCCACACATGCCAGCCTGCCCTGCATTTGAATCATGTGGGAATTAATGCAGTTGCAAGTCACATGACACTGAATCTTATTGCTGTCATCTCTCATCCAATCACTCACTCTATCTCTCTTCCTTTCCACCTCACTCTCTCTCTCTTTCTCTCTCTCTCTCTCACTGTGCGTCTGCTTCTGGTTAGGTGACATCCGACACATCCGAGTTGACATTGAGAAGTGTGTCTGAACATGGACCCTACTGTCCCTGCGGTCACTGTCACCAACACATGTGCGCCAAAGTGTGCCAAATATCACTGAGCCACGCACGCACGCACAGACTCACACACAGCTTGCAGGTTTTGGGAAAGTGAGGTTGGAGATGTTGTGCCACAAGGATAGAGAACCATAACAAGTGGAGGGTGTCTATTTTTGCTCCTCATCTTCATCTTCTTAATACTTTCATGCAATTATGAGCGTGTAGCGTCCTTTGGGGATGCCCCAGTTACAAAGACAGCTCTCTGAGGGGTGCATGAGGAAGACACAATATCATAGCAGGTGATCAAACATTGGTCATTGTAGATTTCTTTGACTATTTTTGTTTGGAGCTGCGATTAAAAGTCTTGATTTTGATCGTTAAAGCCGCAAAACAACAATGTCGCCGCGATTTTGGCGAAACCTCTTCAAGTTACGGTGAAAATTTTGAGTCTTTTGGTCAAAAAGTAGGAGGAAGTCTATCAAAAAGTACACTTTGGTTTTCTTTTATGTGACATTTTAGATTCTACGGTTAAGAACTATACAGGTATGTTTGTAAGCCAAAGCTGCTTCTTACCTTTTTCCACCCAGAACGCTGGTGGCGGCGAGCCAGCAAGCCCACAGACACAGAAGGGCCGTCCTGCTCCGTCCACACATAGTTGCAATATGAGGACCTTTCACTGCTAGAGGTCAAAGACAGAAAGTGAGAGAGAGAGAGGGAGAGAGAAATGAGCATCATTACCAAGTCAGAGGAGCCAGAAATCCACCATGAACCCCCCAACAACTTGTCCCCACATCATAGTGTCAACAAACATGTAGATGTGCCAAAGCAACAAGAGCTGAGGTGCAAGCTGTGAGGAATGAAGACCTTGTCCCGGTGGAGATGTTTTATGGGAGGTTTTTGCTCCTTAACATCCCTCACAGATTCACTGACAGCGCATGAATCAAACCAAATGGCCCTGCCACATGCGTTGGGCCATCACATGCCACTTGACACAGGCGCCCCCTCCAAGATTTACATCATCATTGAGAATTATCCGTCAACCTGACAGAGACATATTCTACACCCTAACTATGTGGGAGAGCGGGGTTGAAATATCTGCTCAGCGAGTCGATGATGGGGGGAAAGGGATCCAGTGTAAATAGGACTTTCATAGCTGACGCTCAATACGCACGCCTGACTATGGCTGCATCTGTAGCGCATAATGATTAAGAAGACATAACAAGGCAACACATCATCGACCACATAACAGCCCGTGTGAGCTTGTAGCACCTGTGCACAGCCTCCTCCTAATACCCTGCAATGTGAAACGCACCATACCGCAATATCAAGCCCAAATCCCCTCAAAATTCCGAGCGTCCGCTTCTTCCTCGATCATTAAGCTATGATGTCAGCCAGGTCATAAAGTATGGGAGCAATTAGCCTGCGCTATTGCGCATGCAAAACACAATACTCGGATTTACGGTCCGTTTTCTTTTTTTTAATGAAGGAACAATCGATGTGTCCACGAGGCGACCAGTTTTCCACTTGGAGAAAAGCGCTATAAAGCAGCATATCGTGAAATTCTCATCCTACATAACGAGACAATGCCTCTGTTATACTTGCTTGTGATGTTCCAAGGTGCACTGAGAGCGGATGGAAGACGAGGAGGGGGGGACGCACAATGCCCTCTTGACATGAAATAAAAATCAAATCAAATCTGTCGGTTGACAAGGATTTGACAAAGCAGGAGGGATGATGCAGATTAACGAATGGAAGAGAAAATCCCGCACAAGCACACTTTCTAAGTTATTCAGAGGAAATGTCACCCCCCATCTCTCTCTCTGTCTCTGTCTCCATTTGGACATATCAGCTGGAGAGAAATTTAAGCATGCAACTGGCATCCCTCTGCAAGGCTGCTCTAAATACATGCATGGCGATCCAATCCGTGCGTGGCGGAGTAATTAAGCAAATGTGCGTTGATGCTGTGTTTTGTTCGGAGCGCTGTCCGTGGTGCTGAAAAAACCAGCCTGTTCAAAGCGTCAAACGCCTCCGGTGTGGTCATAAAATATCACCTTAAACGGTCCCAATTTCGACGGCAGACTCCCCCCTTTTCTCCCCCAATAAAACTCGTCTTGGATTCAAGCGGCGTCCAGCAGCAGAGAACCGTCGCTCTCTCTCTAAATCCGAGTGTTACTCCCCTCTCTCTCCCCCCTTCTTCTTCTTCCTTTTGCCGGATGAAAAAAAGGGCGAGAAAATGGGAGAAAATCACTTACAGCAGATGAGTCGGGGTTATATTCGGTGTCCGCTGGCTATATCCTCAAACTTTTCAGAATATCTCTTCCTAGCCGGGTCTGAATGAGAAAAAATCCTCTGTGATCTCAGATCTGACGAATTTTAGCTTGAGGCTGGAGAAGCGGCTGCTGACGATATGCGCAGGTCTCTCTCACTGTTCATTGGTGATGCTGTAGTGAGTTCAACTCTCTCAGTCTGTCGGCAACAACACACAAAAATGTCCTAAACTAACAAATCTGGATTAATGCAACCAGATCTCTGTCAAAATAAAGCTTTTAGTTCATTAATCGTAAAGAGAGTAGACGGAGACTTCATCCAAGCGCAGACCGTTTAATTTTAGAATAGGCTGTACCAACCTGATAGAAAGAGCAGCCCGCCCATTTTATATGCAGCACAATTTAACTTCCACTGCTGTCGTCCTAATCTCTCTTTCAGTGCCTGCTAAATAAAAATCCTCTTACATTTTCAGCTGGGATCCCTTGTTTTTTTCCCCCCTCTCTCTCTCTCTGTCTCCCTCTCTCTCTCTTCTCATCGCGCTTTCTCTAGCTGTCTCGCTCCCTGACTCTCCTACGTGATGATATCCAAAAATGACATTAACCAAAAGACAACAAAACGGACACAAAAAACGATCAAGCACAAACGAGGTTGGGATCGGATCGGAAGGGATCGGATCGGATCGGCGCGCACATTAAGCAAGAGAAGAGCGAGAAAAGACACATTCCCCCAAAAATGAAGAAAATGGTGTTCCCTCACCAGCTTGCACTGATGACACGAGCCTCTCTCTGCAATAAAAATCCCCCTCTCGATGCACTCACCGTCTCCTAAAAGCCTGCGTTTCGCATCGAGACTACAGCACCGTGTGTCTCTGTTTACAGCCAAATATTCTGCTGCTACAGCCGCGCCACTCAAGACTGAGCTGAGCACGGCGAGGAGCGCTGAGCTGCGTGCATCTGCAAGGGGAGGAAGAGGGAGAAAAAAATTGGGCTTGCTGATGATACCCAGCGTATATTTTTGTAGTCATCTGCGTATTTCAAGTTAAACTACAAATCAGAGGACATTTTCATCACCACCAAGGACTACAGGGAGGGAAACAGGGTCTGTTTATGTGCGGCTTTTACGCATTTATCAGTCCAGTTCACGGTTGCATAAGCGTCATATTTAGCCCAGCTGTTGATTTAAGAATGCTTTTGACAACTCGTGTATGTGTGTATATGTGTGTATGTATGTGTGTTTTCGCCCTCAGTTTTGACTGGAGGTTTATTTTCATCAGAGCAAGGCAGAGTGAGCTGGCAGTGGAGTCACGTCAGTCTGGTCTGCAGTGCAACGTTTCCTCTGAGTGTGTGTGTGCGCGCCGAAGAGTGTGTGTGTGCCTTCTCACGCGTGGTTAAAGTAGTACATGTGCATGATTAGTTATGAGGGACGTTATGGTTTCTATCTATCTATCTATCTATCTATCTATCTATCTATCTATCTATCTATCTATCTATCTATCTGTGAACATAACACACTTTTTACGCAAATGAAACACAAAACAACCAAAATAAGAACAAAAATTTCACATGTTTCTACTTCTCCTTCCATCAACCTGATGCTGCAGGTGCACGCGCATATTTTAATAATAATTATGACAATAATAACATGCACACACCCCCTCCACAACCGCACCGAGACACCTCCTCTTGCGTGGAATTAATGCTATTGTAATGCAAGTGGAGTATCATTTCAAGCTGCTTCCCTTCTCCCCTTAAAAGCCAGACGCGCCACCGCTGCATGTGACTCGATTTTTGCCTCTGCGCGCGCGTGCACACGCGGGGCATGCATAACCAACACGTGCCCGCGTGCGCGTGGAGTTGGGGCGCGCAAGCCCGAGCCCGAGACGGGGAGAGTGGAGAGAAAGAGAGAGGGAGAGAGAGGAGGGGAAAGTATAAGACGCGTCTCTCTCTCTCTCTGTCTCTCTTTCTCTCTTCACGTTTGAATAACCTTCCGTTCTCCCGAAAGAGGAGATTTACTTCTTGGACAAACAACAGCTACAAAAAAAGACACCAAAAAAAAGAGAAAAAGACGCGATCAATTAAGACGAATTTCCGGAGACGCCGCTCAAACAAATGACTGCAAAGCGAAGGAGACTCGCATTCCTCCTCACAGCTCCATCTCTGGGCAGGTGATGGGAACGGATAGTGAAGTGAGGTGTGTGTGCGTGTGTATGTGCGTGTGTGTGTGCGTGTGCAGAGGCTAAACGGAGAGAGATGGATGACGGTAATTTGGGTGAGAGATGCGCAGGTTATGGGGAAATAATCACTCGCTGTGAACAGAGCTTTTTGAATTTTAAAAGAAGGGATATTGACAAACTACGCCCCCCCTCCCCTCTGTGTTTGTGCATCCATCACTGCGCCCCACGAGCCGGTCATTTGTTTCCTTTCACCTAAACTTGATGCAACAACTGTGCTGACTTGTGATCTTGTGTACCTGACACATAGACACCTTTCTGTGTTGTCAGTAAACACCCCTGCCACATGTGTGTGCTTTCTGTGCATGTGGGTGTTTGTGTGTGTGTGTGTGTGCGCTCTTTGGGGAGCCCTCATCCCCTCACCTAAATCACCAGGATTCATGTCTCTCAGGGGGAACTTGCCCCCTCCTTTGAACACTCAGAACCCTGGAGGGTTTCAATGACCTCTTTTTACTGTGTGTGAACACCTGCGTTTTAATGACTCTGACATGCACAAACCCAACAACCCCAGAATCTTTCTCAGTCTACAGACAGACAGACAGACAGACAGACAGACAGACAGCAGATGAAGTCTGTGTTTGAGTGTATTTGTAGGTAGAGGCCTTTGTTTCATCTCACTTTGACTACTGTAATACTCTTTTTATGTGTTTTAATAAAAAGACTGTGAATCACCTTCAAACTGTTCAAAATGAAGCTGCAATAGTGTTGTTTCGTCCACGAACGATTCGTTCAAAAGAAACAAATCTTTTAAGTGAACGTACCAAACCGAATCACTTCCTCGAGTGATTTGTTTGTTCCTCACTTCAGTTGAGCTGAAGTGAGAATCGAACAAATCAGCATTGCCAGTCGAGCAGCCGGTGAACAAGGGACCGCACAAGGGCTCACAAGGGACTGCATGCACCAACACCTGTGGTGAACGAATCACGCTTTGAACTACACTCTCTGGAATCATTTTTGTTAGACAAAACTACCTTTTATTTATTTATTTTTTTCACTGCTAAATTGCCACCACAACAACTTGCATACGATAGGACACAGCATGTAACAAGTTCTGCATTAATCCCGCAGCATCCTATCATCGCAGCGTTTATTGCAGACTTATAAACAAGTTCATTCAGTACCAATTTTTTGGGGTAAAAACACCCGGCGATAGTGATGGTGTTCCTATTTTTTAGTGATGGTGTTCCTAATTTTAGCGGGTTAAAAAGGATGAAACGAGGACAGGTGGAGAGGGCTTTTTCATTTTTAAAACTTTGTTCGGAGAGGACTGGAGCTCTCTTCACAGGGTAGGAATGTCTTAATTTGGCATCTGATGTCACAGCTTTGGAGATTCCAGAGGCTCTGTGTAAGTCCGGGACTCTTTTCGCCTGCGGCTAGTTGTATCCCGGCTTTGGTCAGGGCTGTGTGTCAATGAAAAGGTCGCTCAGGACTACTTGCCGTCCAGTAGACGACAGCAGGAGGAGATCACATCTGGCTGCATGTAAGAGAGAGAGAGAGAAAGGGAGAGCAGGAGATAAACCCGAGTGCAGCACTTCAGTTCAATTATTGCTGTAAAGCTTGATGTGTGCTCTTCCTGTTCTGCGTCTCAAAGTGCCCGCAGGTTCAAACTCTGCTGTCGCTTCGGCTCTTAAACCTGGACTTAGAGACTGCTGCCCATAGTGCCTCATTACTCTCACTAATCCACATCCTGCTCTTATTTCTCGACTCTCAATCATCCAATCAGAACGGAGGGAGCTCATTCAGAGAACTTCCACAGGTGTAGGTAAATTAAAGAAGTGCTACCCACCTGAGAAACAATCAAAAATCAGAAAAACTGAACCGGGTACCTGGCCTTGGAGTGGTTTTACATTCCCCGTGTCTGCAGCCTGTTGTTCTGTTCCTGCAGAGCATGACTGTCGGGGCGACTCGCCTCAATCAGACGTCCGGAGGAATAAATCAGTCTGTTGTTGAAGACAAAAGAGAGCTTCCCCTCTGTGAGCTGCTCTCTGCAATCACCTAGAAACTGGCATCACCTCTGTCTCACACACACATACACACAAACATTCGCACACTAACACATTCATGCTAATTTCAACTCCTGTACCCTCACTCATATATTCAGGAAGGCAGTCATATGCTATGCATGCAAATTTCCACATTTATTTGTATGCGTACAGTCTTGTATCCTGTTGACTCACACAGAGACTATGAATCTGAACTAATGGAGGACATGGAAAATTCTTCTTCTGCATATTGAGACACAAAACAACCGCTCGACTCTGATAACCTTGAAACATTTGTGGTCAGTGTTGTACAGAGATTCTAATCTCTTCTGAATTTACATCTAAAGCTCCTGTGAGGAATTTTCTGTCTGAGTTGATTTTGGCGCCCCCCTGTGGACAAAGTGGTAGCCCTTGTCTCGTCCTCTCAAGCACATCAATCCTCTCAGAGTAGTTACAGGCATCAAAAATTACATGATCGATGTCACCATAGTTCTTGTTGATGATCTCATTTTCTCACTCAGTGCGTCGACATGCGCGGCTTAATCGGACTAGTTAATAATTTATAATGAATTTAGAAAAAAAAAAAGATTGTATTCCAACCATTTGCTCCAACAATAAACACAAACTTTGGCAAGAACTACTGCTGCATTCTAGTTACCTCAGAAGTCGGAGCTGGAAACAACGCTACATCTGAGTTGACAGCCTTCCAGTAAACAAGTCGGAAAACCAAGATGGACGCCTACAGTTAGCCGTGGTTAGCTGCTGTTAGCTGTTGTCAGTTGTTGTTAGCTAAACCAGTTGTAAACGAAGCAGAACACAGTATTTTACAAATGCCATAGCACCGTGTTTACAGTTAGACATTAGGCAGTACAACATATACAACTTATTTAATTTCACAAAAAGAAAACAGAAGCGCTAATAAATAATACATCACAAGAGCTTTCACTGTCGCTCTTTACTGTTGATGCACTGCGCTGCCATCTTGGATTATGACATTGTCGTCAAGTCGGGGTTTGTGAGGATTATCTGACTTTCTGAGTCCGACTTCAGGGGGGCATTCCAGTTGAATTTCCGACTTAGAGCTCAGAAATTCCGACTTCTGTGTACAACTGGAATGCAGCATACATCAATATGACAGTGGATGATGGTGCTATTATAATAATACTAATAAACTTTATTTGTATCGCACATTTCTAGAACAATTGTCACAAAGTGCTTCACAGTCATCGAATTAAAAAAGGGTGAGACAACAAGACTTAAAAATCAACAAAAGTACACAAGTAGCCAAAGTCCTGGTTATACAAAGGCAAGTGCAAACAAATGGGTTTTCAGTCGCTTTTTGAAAGTGTCCACAGTATCCACAGACCTCAGTTCTTGAGGGAGAGAGTTCCAAAGTTTCGGAGCAAAAAACTCAAATGCACAGTCTCCTTTGGTTCGTAGTCTAGTCTGGGAGACAACCAGCAAACTGTAGTCAGAGGATCTTAGAGTCCTGCTGGAACTATAGGGCTTCAGCAGGACTCTGATATACGCTGGAGCTTGTCCATGTAAAGCTCTGAACACAAGAACAAGTAATTTAAATTGGATTCTGAATTGAATGGGTAGCCAGTGAAAGGATCTGAGGATGGGTGTGATTACATCCAAAGGCACCAACACAACATGAAAACTCCACACAGTACATTTAAAAACATACACAAATACTTCGCTAATAAACAGACAAACACTGAGGACACCATTTATCCCTGATGTAAACATTTCACAGCGAGTTAAAACATAAGTAACTCCAGTCCAGTGGTTGCTGTTAAAAAAAACCTTGAATAGAAAGTCACCTGAATGTCTTTACTGCAGACGAGGGCTGCACCTGAAAAAAATTTGTGCTTTAAAATCTGACTCCTCT